TGGCAGCGCATTGTTACCAGTTACCAAACGTTGCTTTTGGCCCACAGACCGCAGCTCACCGAATGCCACTTCCACAGTGGGCAACAAAAGGAGGTCGCCGAGTGGCGGAGGGCTGCGGAAAATGCCAATGGGTAATTCGAGTATATCCGCTGCAGATTTAACAAACAAATTCTTTTCTTCTGCGATCAAAGTTCTTGGAATACCCACTGATAATGGAAACATTCAAAATTTTATTTTATTGAACGACATATTTCAGACTTTAATAGGACAGCTTCTGATTTATAACAAAAATTTCCAAATTGAATACAAAAAAGTACAATCTTTCTATTGAGTCAGGTTTTATTTTGTAAAAAATACGAGCTTTTATTTAAGTTTTGCCTTTCTCAGCATATATTTCCTGTTTACAATTACCAGTTAAAGTGCCTTTTAAAAATACAAAAAAACTAAGATTAATGATTTGTGACTTTGCAAAGCTAAACAAAAGTAATGAAATCATTTCCTCGGTTCGATTGCAAGGTTATTTTCTGGAACTTATACATAAATTGTAGATTATGTAAAGCTTCATATGATCAATACAATAACGATTTTATATGAACAACATATTGCTTTTTACATTTAAAAGATGAAACCCATTTTGTAGGCATTTAAATTGAATTTAAAATTGAAGTTTTGAGAAAAGCTTTGCAGTACTGTCGTTGAAATACCGATAGAATAGTGAAATTATTTGATTTTTATGTTTTGGAAAATTGTTGTTAAATTTGGTTGCAGAATCGGACAATAAATTGGATACCTAATGGTCGACTCTCTAGAGTTTGGTGTTAGTTTTTCGGCCAGGACGTGCAACATGGCTGGCAACATTTCCACCTCAGATGGCTTAAACTTCTCTGTCGGCCTCCATTTCTTTTCACTTGTTCACCCCTCTTTCACCCCCTTTTAGCCTTTGTCTCTGTGCATTTGGCTTGACAGTCGCAGCAACCAAAAGTGCGCTATGAGCTTTTGTTTTTCGCCTTTCTCTCGATTTTAGTTTCGTTTTGTTTCATTTTTTTTTTTTTGTTGTCTTGTTTTTCGTTGCGCTTTGCCGATTTGTCTTGCCCCCTTTTACCCCATTTTCCTTGGCTATTTCAGCGGCTTGCGAAGCTTTGGGGAACATTTTGCTGGCTTGTATTATTAAAATACGTTTACAGCTCAGAAGAAAACCACCGAATACCTTCAGACACAATTATCTTCTCTGTGTTTTCTGGGCATAACTTTCAATCGCAGCTAATTGTTTGAGTCAGCAAAAACTTTCCGCGCACCCCCACAAACAAAAATTCTCGTTTCTCGCACACAAATTAAATTTCTCCAAGCAAAAAAAAAAAAGTTGCAAATAATTTGCGTGTGGGCCGGGGGGATAATCGAATATAACTTAGCCTCATAGAAATTATTTGTTGCGAAAGTTTCGCCTGTCTAGGCGAACTTTGTGACTCGTTTTGCATAATAGCGATATAATTTTCGAGCATTTTTCGACTCCGACATAGAAGCATTTAATTGATTTTGATCGATGGTGGAAGTCTAATTGAATTCGGTCATAGTTTTCGGACGTTTTGGATCATGGACATGAATTTGATAAATGGGTTAATTGTTAATTTGGTTATATGGGCTCGGATGGAAATAGTTGCTGCTTAAAGTGTTTAGTTAGCATCTTAAAATGTTATCACAAGTTTTTGGAAGCTAAAGTATATATTACAAATGTAACACATTGAAACTCTGAACAATATAAAACTGAACTGAACTGAACCAGTTTATTTTGGATAGGAGACTTTTAAATAAAATTGCGAACCCACTTTGTATTTATTTTACCCTTATAAATTCCTTATAAAGTTTTAAACAATGCACAGGGACCGCAAATATGTTGTTCATCCAATAAAACCTTAAACCTGAACCTGAAACTAAAAAAAACCAATTGTTTTCTCCACAAAACAATATCAAAAGTGCAACAATGAACAATCCAACTCCGTTTTTTCCTCTGAATTTTCAGCCAGGTAATAAATAATAAAAAATGTGATGTTAAGAAATAAATAAAATACAATTGTTCCTCGTTCTGAGTTGACTTAACTTTTAAGGGATTTGGCAAATATGTTTTACTAATTTTCGTAATGCTTTCAGCAAAGGTTGAAATTTCATTTCATTAGTAAAGAAAAATAATGAAAAGTTTGTAGTTTTACCGTTCACAAACAAGTTTTAGCAAAGTTAGTTAGTCTTATGCGATTGCTTTAATCAAGTTTTAAATAACAAATAACGTTAATAAATTCGTTATATTTTTCTATTGTCAAAAACGTTTCCCTGTCGCATTTCAATCAGTTTCCTTTAAGTTTCCCTGATTGATTTGTCGGCAGCCACAAGACTTCTGCCGACTTTTCCGACTTTCCCGCTGAAATGCAGCGAAACAAAAGTCGCAGTAAATTAATAAGCCTGCCGCACACGCGGGGGGCAGTCGGGCCCCCGGAACCCCCCTTATGACTAAATAGTAACACATACTGACCTGACCTACTCTCCGGTTACGGGTTGGAGTACGGGTGCGAGTACAGGATCGAGTTCGAGAACAAGAACGAGAACGGGAACGGGAGCGATGCACAGCGGTGGCAGTGGCGAAAAAAATAACATAAAGAATAAAACACAAAAAATAATATGTAGAAAAAAATATAGAAAATTTTGTTATAGAAAAAGTGTACTATATGTGGTATAGGCTTATAAGTACGAGTGCTTGAGGCTACACTGAGCGAAATTGTTACTGTTCGACAATTGAGAGCAGACACTTCTTAAATAAATCAATATGGTTATTCATAACTGACATTATTATTTCTTAAGAGTTATAAAGTTTGTGTTTGAAAAAGGAATTGACTCTACAATATTATTTTTGAACAAGTTTGACCTTTAAATTGAATTTATAAAATCTGTATCTTCAAAAAGCTCTTTTTTCAAATCACATTAAAAAACTTTACGCATTGGAATGTAAAACCTAATAAATTATCAGAATATAAAATACTGAATGCGAGTTACAATAAACTTTTAGCTGCAGCAACTTGATCAATGAAATTACAACAAAATTTGAACAAATTGAAAATCGTTTATTTGAGAGTGCTGAACTTTGTGAAATTTGATCTGCAAGCAATATCGAACTGTATCGAGTATTTTGTACTGTGTAAATTGGAGACTGGGAGACTTTTGAGCCCTCGCTGTTTGAAGCCCCTTTGCTAGCCCCTGACTCCTGGCGAGAGTCCTTCATGCTGGGGTCCCCGGAACACGCGATGTTACTGTAGGGGAATATATATGTATATATGGAAGTAAGGGCATAACATATATACATATTTATATACATATATATATATATATATTCCGGGGGATGCAAGGGGGCTCTAACGACGGTGGGCATGGCTGACTTTATTCTGACGGACTGTTGCGTGTTTTGGAGCCAACAACTGCGACGTACTCGTTGCCATTGTTGTTGTTGTTACTTTGTTGTTGTTGTTGTTGTTGCTGTAATTGTTGTTGTTGCGGCTTCCATATACTTTCTATTGTATTATATTTTATATGCTTTGACAAAGCCCCAAGCCACTTAGACAAACTGCTTCAACTTTCTGCTTGGCTCTTGTTGCTGTTTATTATTGTTATTTAATGTTTATAGTTCGCCGAACAAGACGCGATATGTGGGTGGTTTCAGGGGGTATCCCCTTCATTTTCGGAGGCGTAAGAAAAGGCATTATTAGCCATGTATATTAGATGTCGTTACACGACTCGGCCTTAAAAAAAATAGAGAACCTCAAAGAAAATTACTCGACAAAGTGGAACACTCAACACCGATCATTGCAATTATGCTCCAATTTAAAACATGGCTTATAAATGTAAGAGTTAAAGGGTTGCAAAACATTTTTTAAGCTCATATTTAAACGGGCGTTATTTAGTTAAGATCAATGGTTTACTTTGACTTTAAAAACTTGGCTTAAATAATTATAAGAAAACTGATCTTTTGAATTGTTAATACTTTAAGCTTACGATACTTTTTTAAAAAACTTGTTAGTATTTCAATTTTTCAAAACTATAATTTTTAAAAAACATTTTAAGCTAGAAATGCGTATTTGTGGATATATTAAGCAAGATTGTTGATTTATGATTCACTTTTACGTTTGTTTTACCATTTTACGATTTAAATAACCTTTACAATGCCAAAAAATGTCAAGGCATTTCAAAAATGTCAATTTAATTGTGATCTGCTTTGAAACATATTTTTTAACATTGAATTGGAAAAAGCTTATCACAAGTTTGAGAGCGTTTTAAAATTCACAAAAACTTACTAAAACATATTTTGAAATAATAAGAAAAATAAGCAGCTATCGGCATATTTTTTATAAAACTTAACCAACCACATGAAATGACTACATTAATATTTTCGTTTAAAAAGTTCAATGACTTTCTCTAAAATTCTAAAAAGGGGCTTTTAATAAAAAATCCACATTTCAAAACGTTTCCTGAATTTACTTTTGCACTTGACACATTATTTTGGAATTGGAATCAATCAATTAAATCAGCTGCAAAAACAACATTCGATTTGCTAATTAGCCAGAGAGAGAGACAAATAAATGAGAAAAAGCAAAAAAGCGGAGATGACGATCACGATCACGATCAATGCGGTCCCACACACTTGAAAAAAATATATATGCTAAATAGGTTTAAATTGAGCACAACAACAATGGCAACAACAACGGCAGCGACTCAGATTGGATTCACTTTGTTTTTAGCACTTTTTCGCTGGAAAGATGATTTAATGGCACACAAACGTAAAAAAAAAGGAACAACACAATTAAAAAAATGTTTAAGTTGTGAGAAAAAATCCCAAATCATTAACACTTTAATTGTGTTTAAGGTTTATTTTTCTTTTTTTTTTTTGTAAGGTTTATTGTGTTTTTTTGTTTTTTATTTTTTGGTTTGTTCGAAACGCGTTTTGTGAAATCACCGGTTTACGTACGTTTAAAAATTGCGTCAAAATCGCTGAGAGATGTGTTTGGTCGTGGGATCTGAAGAGTAGAACCGTCGGGAGCCCAACTGACACCTTCAGTGCTTCGTTTTGCACTGAGGCGCCAACGTAGCGCCAATGTAGCGCCAAAAACCGGTTCGGCTCCACATTGGCCGCTTCGTGCTGAATCGGAAATCTTCGGCAATTGGCCGCGTTGGCGCCGCTCTCTCTCTCTTCCTCTTGCCCTCTCTGGATTTCAATGCCAAGCCAAAGCAGCTGTTTCCAGCATGGATTTTGTTGTTTTGATTTTTTGTCGCGCTCGCACGTGCGCGTATGTGTGTGTTTTTCTTTTGTAAGCGGAAAGTGCAACGCTTTCGAATACCGTACACTATTAAGATTGCGGTGTTATTGGCTAGGTCACCGAAAAATAAATTGAGAATTATAGCCCATAATCAACATAATAAGTGTAATGGTAATCTTTCAAAACAAAGTAACTTGGGAGTTACAAAACCTTTTGATTCGGCTTTAAGCTTTATCACTCATACGTACTGTTGCCTTTGATTAAATCTTTTATTTTCATCGATACAATTAAAAAAATGTTTACGTGTCGTATGAGTAATTTTATGCAAGCTTTGGGCCCATTGCGCAACGCATATAATTGATGAGAGCAATACTTCTTGATTTCACCTAGTTCTGGACTTCTATTGTAACTCTAGGCCTTGTATATTTAGTTAACATGCGAAATGTGGTTTAAGTAGGGTCTGAGCTGTTTCTCAATATTTAATTTTTTATGATGCACGTCTCGTATGAGTAATTTTTTTTGGAATCAGTGAGAGCAATACTTCTTGATTTTACCTAATTCTGGACTTCTATTGTAACTCGAGGTCTGGTATATTATACAGTTTACAAACGAAAGGTAATTTAAGTTGGGTCTGAGTTGTTTTTTTTTATGACGTACGTGTCGTATAAGTAATTTTTATGAAATCTTTGAGACCTTTGCGCAACGCCTATAATTGATGATATATGTAAGTCTGAGAATCCATCAGACCCCTGCATACTCTGGATTTTGCCTCTAACAGCACTTACTCACGCCGAAATAAAAATAAGAAGAGCAGCTGGCAAAGAAGAAGAAACAGCAGCAATGCCAGTTGAAAGAAAGTTAGCAGCGCAATGATTTTAATTGGGAATCGTTTATGGGACAAAGATTTTTCTAATCCAAATGAGTTATTCGGCCATTAGAAAGGCTATTAGTGTTCTCTCCCCCATACAATGCCTCCCACTCTCTCGACTTCACCGCAGACTGCATTCTGTGCCATGTGCTTTTGTTTTGATACCCCACAAAAAAGTTTTATAAATATGATATGTTTTGAAACAAATTAGGATCCATTTTCGCTTATATCAGAATTTTAATATTCTTACAATTATAATGAAGTATTAGTTAGTGTGAAATTAAAATTAATATTCTAAGTCTACTATAAAGGAAGCAGTTCAAAATGTATTTTCCGAAAATCTACGCTAAGTGGCTTTAAAGAATAGCCTTTTGCTGGAATTAGTTTAGACAACCCAGGTTTCGTAGGGTATTTTAAGATGGTTCTTCCTCGTAGCTCTTGTTGCTTTTATTTTTATTGCTATTATGATAACGCTTGTTGTTTTTGTCATAAGCAACGCACAGCGAACTTTTCAAGTTCAACTTGTCCCCGCTTATTTTAATTTTAATCACACAACACAAAACATGAGCCATGGTTGCTGCTGCTGTTGTTGTGGCTTTTTGTGTTACATTTTAATGTTATGCGGCCTTTGTTTGTTTGTTTATGCACACAAAACATTCATAGAAGTGCCCCAGGGTGGACTTCAATTGTTCCTTAAATTTAAGGTCACACGGTGATTATTATGGGAAATTATTTGAAAACAAGTGTAAGAAACAGGTGCTTAAAAAGCTTCTACTTTAACTAACTAATGATCTCTAAACTTCATGAAATCAATTATTCCCAACTATTATTATACTATTTTCCCTAGAACGTTTTAAATTTTCCAATGTAAAAGTGAGAATTATTTTAAAATATTAATAAAGCTTAAAAAATATAAAGAATAAAAAAAATAAAGTGTGCACTATATAGCTAAAATAATTCTTTTTGAAAGTTTATAATATGCCCTAATTTTGTATTTTCGATGTTCACCCTAAATTACACATATTTTATGGGATATTTTTCTGGCGTTCTTTATTTAGACTTTGGGGCCGTAATGTCCTCTATGAGATATTATGTACCACACACACATAAACACACTAGCTCATATCAAAAGATAACTGTAATGTTGTAATGTAGTCCATTTGCGACAAATATGCGCACCCAAAAAATGCTTCTCGGACAATGGTTGAAATTGTTCGCATATTCATGACCGAATTACCCACATTCGGCTGCTGAGTAAGAGAGAGGGAAGATGAAAGGGGGCGGAGGGAGAGGGAAGATGGAAGATGGAAAGGGGCGGAGGGAGGGGCAGATGACTGGACACAGCAGAACAAACAAAACCATTGGCAAGGCACGCAAATCTCGGCTATGACCAAAATATTTGCCAAAGTTCGCCGAGTCCTAAAAAAACAGAAAAAATGTACACTGAAAGAAACCGAACAACGCAACCTTGAACTCCAAAGGGCTGAGTATTAGTAGCCAGAAGACTTTTTCAAATTTATTAGCTATAATCTAAACATTTAAAACCAATTTTTGTGTATGAGCCTATGTTGGTTTGCTAGACGCTCTGTAAATTCAAACAACATTTTAAAAGTTTTTCTGTTTTTTTTTAAATATTGAAAAATATTCTTTGGTTTCTTAGTTGCCACATTAGGTCTTATATATTTATAGCTTCGAATACGAAGTACCCCTGGCAAATATATTTTCAAGGTTTCAGTGCTTATAAACCATTACTTTCTTTAAGTGTGGGAGATGAGTAAAAAAAAGCGTTGCCAAGAAATCAAAGTGAGAGAGTGTGAAGAAGAGGGGTGAAGGGCGATAAAGGGGGTTAAAACCAGGCCGGATGTATTAGCCAAGACAGGACAGGGACAACATCATCGTTTCATTTTGCTGTAAGTCCCTCTCCCAAAAAAAGACTAAAAAGAGAAAAGCATATTCCCGCCATTGACGATGGGCAACTAATATTTGCCAAGCGTAAAGTAATAAAATATTTCTTCGGTCAATAAATGCAATTGAATGTGAAGCGCATAGACGAAGACACGAATGAAAATGGAAACGAGCACGAAAATCGCGAAGAGAAACGCTACAAAATTAGCTCCCAAAACCCACGAACTTCGAATGCTCTAGTTAAAACTTAATTGTTTTGAAGAGGTAAAAAATGGAAAATAAAATTAAAAATTTTATAAAATTCAAATTATATTCAATTGTACCTATTAACGTTTTAATATGTAAAATGATATATTAGCCACTTCTTTTATTTTATAATAATAATCAGTAATTGTAAAGTGTCATTTAATAACTCTTGATTATAAATATCCAATCTTTCTTAAATCAAAGCAATTTTAAGGCCCATTTTCTTGCCCTAATTTCAAGCTTAAAATAGTTTAAAATTGGGAAAATTTATGAAATTTTGTTTGTTTATGTCCCAATTTTAGCTTACCACGAAGACTACAGAAACCAGACTGAAATGCTTTAAATTGAATCCTAATACATATGTCTTAACTGTAACGATTTAGTAAAAGAACTTTGAGTTTTTTAGATAATATCCTGTCATCGCTCACTTTGCGCCTCCCCCGCAATCGTCTGGACTTTATAACTATTTTTTTTGAGCACTATTTTTTTTTTTTTGGGTTCCACTCTCGTGTCATTTTAATGCCCACTCTCTCGCTTTTCCATTCGGAGAAATACATATACGAAAAAGCTTTTATTGTCATTTGTTTGCTTTAGAATGCAATAAAAATGTTATGCCAAAGGATAAATAAATACGCCTGCATGTTGCCAAAAATCAACATGCGACCGACACGATATATCTATCGCCCTATACTAAATGTATGTATACACTTTAGAGGGCACATAAAGCAAAGATGACCGGCAAAAGGAGCCGAAAGGCAAAAAATAAAACTGCTCGAAAGCGGATATGACAATAGTCGCTGAAAAGGACTGAAAATAAATCGAACAAAATAGGATAAGACCATGAACTTCTTTTAGTTGTAATGACGATTGTTAATGCCTTAAACGTATCACATCGTAAAGGGGCTTAATTAAGCTTAATACTAATTAAAAATTTTGAATTCTTACAAAATATTTTTAGTTTTAACCGCAAATTAAATTAATTTTTGATAACAACATTGAGAATATTAATGTATTGGAATCTTTTTAATGGTAATACATCTAGCGTACTCTGCTGACATTTATTAACAGATAAAGCGAATCGCAGTAGCCTGTGGGCATTGAAAGCAAAAGTAACATTTATGGAACCGAAACCTGTCCCTAAAATCTAGAACGATGACGGTTCGGGACTATATCCGCAAGTTTTTACTGATGAACTGGAAGAACCACAAGCTGCAGCTGGCCAGTCCGTTTGAGCTGATTCTCATGGTGGCATTGCCCCCATTGTTCACCCTTTTGGCGGTGATGATGCGATTCTTTATACCGGTGGATCACCGATCCGACAAGGTGTACGAACCGATCGATTTGGACCGCAGCTGGGAGCAAATGGTGGAGAAGTTGCAGATGGCGCGACGATTCGCCGATCAGTTCAATGTGAAGGGAAATCCGTTTACACCGCATCTGATTATCGGCTGGGCACCGAATCGCTTCAATGTCTTTCAGACAATGATGCAAAGGGTGCAGGAGGAAATCGATCCGATGACCACGATGAGTTTCGATGATTGCGAGAAGCTGCGAGTGGCGATGGTCGAGGAGAATCTGTTTGCGGGCCTCTGTTTCGGTGAGCATCCGTTCAAGGAGGACTATCCATTCGAGGAGGGCACCATGGTGTCCGAGGACAGTCTCCAGCCGATGCTCAACTATACGATCATCCTGCCCAGCGAGTTGAGACTGCTGGACGGTGACTTCCTGATGGCCAACTGGATGACACTGTACAAGGAGGATCCGCACACCTTCGTCCTTATACGGCTCAATCAGCCGTACGAGGGCGGATTCGTGGGCTATGTTCGAGAGGGTTTCATTCGGCTCCAGAAGACGGTCAGCGAATCCTTTTTATCCCTGACCAGCCACAAGTCCCTGCCAATTATCCATTTGAGACGCTTCCCCGTCACCGGACGCAATCAGGATCCCCTGATGTTCAATCTCGACTACGGCATGTCCTTCATGGTCGTCATCGGATTCCTTTTTCCCATCCAGCTATTCGTTTGGGTAAGCCAAGGACCCAAAGTCCTGAAAGCTATTTTAACTTATTGTATTTTTGATTTAAATATTTCCTTTAGCAGATGGTAAATGAGAAGCAGACGCAGGTTCGCCAGTTTCTGATCAATATGAACATTAGCAATCTTATACACTTTGCTTGCTGGTATATTAAGGGTATGGTCTACATGATGCTAAGCTCGCTACTTATCGCAATGCTTCTAAAGGTAGGTCATTTAATTTTAAAATCATGATCCCTCAATCGGAAGGAAACTAACATTCTATAGATTGGCATCAGCGTGTACTCTGTTGATATTGATTTTGAGTTTTTGTAATAACAATAATGTTGAATGTATGCTACCATAAAAATGCCTAAATGCTAATTTTCGAAAAATGGCTTTGCAGAAAAGTGGCCCAAAACCTGCACTTTTCAGGTCATAACTTTTCTTACATACATTCGATTTCAAAGTGGCTTACTTCTAAATGATTGTGGTTTAATTCTTTAAAAATCTTTTTATTCAACTTGGTTTGTATTTTTGGGTCTATTTTTCATCATTTTTATAGTGTTACCCCTTTCCAAATTTTCGAAAAATGGCTTTGCTGAAAAGTCACCCAAAACCTGCACTTCTAAGCCCATAACTTTTCTAACAGACATCCGATTTCGAAGTGGTATACCTCAAAATGATTGTAGTTCAATTCCCTAAAAATCTGTGTTCTCAACTTATTATGAAATTTCTGATCGATTATTTCTCATTTGAACAGTTTGCTTCCTTTCTTGTTGTTTGTGAGATTGTTGGTGAACCAGTGGAAGAAATACATTCTTATTTTTATGTTTACTTTCTTCACATTCTAGACACGCTGGGACCAGGATCACGGAGTGCTGACCCAGACACCCTGGTACATACTGATTTTAGTGCTGTTCTGCTACAACTCCGCCTCAATTTCCTTTGCGATCCTGATTGCGTCGTTTTTCCGGAACGCCCTAAACGCGGTTCGTGTGACGACGATTATGTGGATGGTGTCCTATGTGCCCACGCTGATGCTGTGGAATAACCCGGAGCGGAATATTCTGCCCCTGCGATACGTTTGCTATGTACTGCCAAATGTGGTGCTGACTCTGGTATTCGAGTGTCTGATTGAGCGCGAATCCATATTTAATGTTTCCTGGGCCGATTCTGGCTATAATCTGAACTATCATGGCGGTCCCATAACAGTGTCCTCGAGCACCTGGATCTTCATGCTGATCTCGTTGGTCGACTGTGCCATTGGATTGTATGTGGACACGTGGCGCGGCATCGACCGATCAGGAAAGAGAATGAAGAAACCCAATCCGGTTGCCAGTGTCCATGAGGATCCCTATCAGGATCGGGCGGATAGTTTTACACATCAGGGTCAGGCTGTTGGTGTTAATTCCACGAAAATCTATGAAGTGGAACCCTCACATCGGCGCTTTAAACTGAAGATCAAGAAGCTTTGCAAACGTTTTGGGACCAACGATCGGCCGGCATTGAATCTTTTTTCGTGGAATGTGTACGAGAACGAGGTCACCGTTTTGATGGGTCACAATGGCTGCGGCAAGAGTACACTGCTGAAAATCTTAGCTGGTTTGATAGAGCCCAATCGAGGCACCGTAATGATCTCAACCTTTAATATACAGACCGAAAGGAAGGCGGCCTCCATGGAATTGGGCATCGCATTCGGGCCCGAAATGTTCTTGACCGGATTCACCGTCCTCGATTATTTGCGATTTATTTGCCGGGTTAAGGGGCTGCATAATTCCATCGAGGTCGATGGACAGGCCAACTATTTTCTCAATATCCTGCAAATAGAAAATGTGAAAGACAAACGAATCCGCAATCTCACCGGACGCGACTTGTGCTTGTTGAGCATTTGTTGTGCCTTCGTGGGCAATAGTCCCATAATCCTCATAGACGACATACACTCCGATCTGGACAAGCAGTCACAGTCGCTGGTCTGGAATCTGATCAACGAGGAGAAGTCGAAGCGCACCATTATCCTGGTCTCCAATTCGCCGGCGCTGGCCGAAAGTATTGCCGATCGGATGGCCATCATGTCGAATGGAGAACTCAAGTGCACCGGCACGAAGCCCTTTTTGAAAAATATGTACGGACATGGCTATCGATTGGTGAGGAATTGATAGCTTTTTCCAAAAATAATGTACGAATAGGTTCTATATATAGTTATTTATTTTACTTTCTATAGACCTGCGTGAAGGGGCAGAACTGCAATATTGATGAGCTGTTTGGCATGATGAATAGCTACATGCCCAACATGAGTGTCGAGCGGGACATTGGATACAAGGTCACATTCGTGCTGGAGAACAAGTACGAGGATCAGTTCCCGATGCTGATCGACGATCTGGAGCAGAACATGCAGCGATTGGGAGTGGTCAGTTTCCGGATAAGGGACACCTCGATGGAGGAGATCTTCCTGCGATTCGGATGCGAGGAGAACGACAATTTCCAGTCGAACGAGAATGTCCAAGTTCTGCTGGAAGAGTACTATGGCCATTTGGCGAAGGCCAAAGAAAAGGGTCGCCGGACGGGCTGGAAATTGGGTCTATTACATGCAAGGTATGCACAAATAATATATACATATTTGACATTATTATAGCTCTTTGATTGGGATATTTTTCCATTAATTATTTAATAATATTGATCATAAAGATTATATTAATTTCGCAATATTTTCAACAGAACGATAGCAACAGTATCATTAAATGATTTAACTTTAACAGTGTTCGATAGTTAAATAATTGTATCCAACCATTATTCTGGTTAGCAAGCAAAAGCTGGCTTAATCTACTTTTAAGAATTCCATTAAAAAATCCATAAATCGATTCAGGTTAATATTATTATTAGCTTTAATATATATATAACCTAATGCCAGGGCCATGTTCTACAAGCGATGGATCGCTGGCTTCCGGCATTGGATCGTTGTGGTATTCGAGATAATAGCCATTGCACTGGGACTGGTATGCACTTTTTCCAGCGTTTTCATCTACGGCAAGAACTACGAGCTGGTGCCGCTGACCTTTAACCTCAGCCAGCTGCACACCGTCGATGCCTTCGTGGAGCTCTTCTCCGAGGAGGAGGACGTCAAGGACATGCATGCCTACTACACGGAACTGCTCTATTGGTACGATGCCCATGTGACGATGTTGACGAGGAACCGCCATAACAGATACGCCCTGTTGCAGCACAACGAGTTCACCAAAAACGTCAACTTTCGCTATATCTTCGGGGCCACATTTGACCAGAATGTGGTCACCGCCTGGTTCAACAACATACCACTGCACTCGGCTCCTTATGCTTTAAATGTCGTCCACAATGCGGTGGCCAGGTGGGTTCTTTTAATTAATTAAGTACACACACTTCAACAAATTACTTCAAAGGGTAAACAAACTGCACCATAACTTGTAATGCACCCATTGCAATTTGATTACAAAGTGGCATACCCTTAGAAGTTTGTGATTGGTTCTATAAACACATTTTTATATTTTAATGAGCCTAAACTTCCACGTAACTTGCCACCAATTTAACGTTGATCAAATTTTTGACCCATTTTCATGTTAGTTATTTCTAATTTTTCGATGACTTGTTTAACGTTGACCCAAAATTGGACTTCGAGAAACCATAACTTTACCAAATATAATCCGATTTCAAAGTGGCATACCTCTAAAGACTTGTGGTTGGATTCTCTAAAAATCTGCATTCAAAATTTTCATTTTAGCGTTGGCCGACTTTTTGACCCATTTTCATGTTGGTTATTTCCAAGTTTCCGATGAGTTGTCCAAAGGTGACCCACCATTGGAATTCTAGATTCCATAACTTTACCAAATATAATCCGATTTCAAAGTGGCATACCTCTTAAGACTTGTGGTTGGATTCTCTAAAAATCTGCATTCAAAATTTTCATTTTAGCGTTGGCCGACTTTTTGACCCATTTTCATGTTGGTTATTTCCAAGTTTCCGATGAGTTATCCAAAAGTGACCCAAAATTGGACTTCGAGAAACCATAACTTTACCAAATATAATCCGATTTCAAAGTGGCATACCTCTAAAGACTTGTGGTTGGATTCTCTAAATATCTGCATTCAAAATTTTCATTTTAGCGTTGGCCGACTTTTTGACCCATTTTCATGTTGGTTATTTCCAAGTTTCCGATGAGTTGTCCAAAGGTGACCCACCATTGGAATTCTAGATTCCATAACTTTACCAAATATAATCCGATTTCAAAGTGGCATACCTCTAAAGACTTGTGGTTGGATTCTCTAAAAATCTGCATTCAAAATTTTCATTTTAGCGTTGGCCGACTTTTTGACCCATTTTCATGTTGGTTATTTCCAAGTTTCCGATGAGTTGTCCAAAGGTGACCCACCATTGGAATTCTAGATTCCATAACTTTACCAAATATAATCCGATTTCAAAGTGGCATACCTCTTAAGACTTGTGGTTGGATTCTCTAAAAATCTGCATTCAAAATTTTCATTTTAGCGTTGGCCGACTTTTTGACCCATTTTCATGTTGGTTATTTCCAAGTTTCCGATGAGTTATCCAAAAGTGACCCACAATTGGACTTCTAGATTCCATAACTTTACCAAATATAATCCGATTTCAAAGTGGCATACCTCTAAAGACTTGTGGTTGGATTCTCTAAAAATCTGCATTCAAAATTTTCATTTTAGCGTTGGCCGACTTTTTGACCCATTTTCATGTTGGTTATTTCCAAGTTTCCGATGAGTTATCCAAAAGTGACCCACAATTGGACTTCTAGATTCCATAACTTTACCAAATATAATCCGATTTCAAAGTGGCATACCTCTAAAGACTTGTGGTTGGATTCTCTAAATATCTGCATTCAAAATTTTCATTTTTGCGTTGGCCTACTTTTTGACCCATTTTCATGTTGGTTATTTCCAAGTTTCCGATGAGTTGTCCAAAGGTTACCCACCATTGGAATTCTAGATTCCATAACTTTACCAAATATAATCCGATTTCAAAGTGGCATACCTCTAAAGACTTGTGGTTGGGTTCTCTAAAAATCTGCATTCAAAATTTTCATTTTAGCGTTGTCCGACTTTTTGACCCATTTTCATGTTGGTTATTTCCAAGTTTCCGATGAGTTGTCCAAAGGTGACCCACCATTGGACTTCTAGATTCCATAACTTTACCAAATATAATCCGATTTCAAAGTGGCATACATCTAAAGACTTGTGATTCGATTCTCTAAATATCTGCATTCAAATTCTTCAATTTAACGTTGATCAAATTTTTGACCCATTTTCATTTTAGTTATTTCTGTAAAAGAGTGACTTAAAAGTGGTATTCGAGAGTCGATAACTTAACAAATTTAAGCTTCATTGTTTTTAATAATATAGGCATACAAATTAAAATTTAGTCGTTTTGTAATAACTGCAAGGGTATATAAACTTTGGCTTGCCGAAGCTTTGCTTGGAATAAAAATGGGAAATAAAGTATGATTTTGTCCATGGCCAAAACTCTATATTTGTTTGGCCATAAGCTCTTGGCATTATCCTTAACCTTTCTTGGATTAATGTAAATCGCAGGCACTTGTTTGACGAGGAGGCCACCATCGATGTGACCCTGCAGCCGCTGCCGTTCCAGACGAACATCAACACCTTTCCACCGAATAACCACAGTTTTGGTGGCGCCTTGGCCTTCAGCATTTGCTTCGTACTGACCTTCATATGGCCGGCATTTGCGATCTATATGATTAACGAACGCGGCAGTTTGATGAAAAAGCAGCAGTTTTTGGCAGGAGCTAGATTTTGCAGCTACTGGGCGTTCACGGCGCTATATGATGTCTTCTTCCTGCTCATCTACTGCCTCTGCGTAGTCGGAATGGTGGCCATCTACAAGAGTCCCCACCACGACGTAATGCTATACGGTGATTTGTCCTATTTAAACGCCATTAGCTGATTTTTACACTGGATTGTATATTTTGTTTAAGTGCTTCTGCCATATTAACAACTTTAATTTTTTTTAATACAAAAATCACTTTTAATAGACCTAGAAAATAATAATGAATAGCAAATGGTAGTAACATGATTTTTAAATTGTTGATTTTCCAACTTTCGTTTATTAAAAATCGTTTAAAAAAATATTGCTCAAAAATCTAACACAGATGCCTTGAAGTACTAATGAGTTTTATTTTAAATACAAAATATTAATATAAATAAATGAGTTATTTTATTTTTTGATTTTTCACCAATTTTTTTTTTCAATTACTTAAAAAGAGAGATAGTGAAACAATCACCGATTATGTAATAATCACAGCACAGTATAAAAATCACATAAGAAAATCCATCTCCATCATTATTTATGTTTATTAATACCCATAGTCTTCCTATTGATCACTTTAACAATTGCTGGACTTTGGGTGATCCTGCTCGCCTACTTTATATCCAGCATCTGCAGGAACCCGAGCTATGGATATATGTGGCTGTGCGGGATTAACAGCATGGGCATTGTCGTCTTCTCACAGATATATAGAACTGGCTTCGAGAATTTGAATCTCGAGCCGAGCTTTTTGACCATGTATTCGGTGGCCTTAATAATATGCAAGCTTTTCATGATCTATGAATACAAGCTGATCTGCACGGATCCCATAGTGAACTTCACCTCCATCGAGATCTTCAAGTGCAAGAGTATCCCCAATTGCTGCAGTTGAGCTTAAGTCCATAAAGTGCATTCGAAAGAAAATATTTCCAAAATTTTTTTTTTCTTTGAATATAGGGATTTAATATTTTAATAATATTAATATTAAGACTTTTTAAATATTAATGAATTTTTAATATTATATTAAAACTGGAAAATATTTTCTTTTGATACTCTCTTGCTTAAGACAATGCTCTAATCGATGGTTACTTACAGTTAGTTCGGACTACAGTACTCCGCATACGGGCATCTACGAGGAACTCAGTATAATGACGGCACTTTGTATTATATTGGGTATTTTCCTGTTTTTCACGGAGTACTACTCGATCGTGGGATTTGGATACTGCCGCGCTGCGAGGGCGGTCATTCCGCCGGAGGATAATCGGGATGAACTATTCCCCGGCAACACCCTGAATACAACCATCGTCGCTGAACTCCACCGGGCCAGTAATCTATCGGAGAAGGAGCGCAGTGAACACGCCGCCGTCGGGATTGGCATTGTCACCAAGTATCGCCGCACTACAGTGCTTAAGGGCCTGGACTTCACTGTGGCAAAGTAAGTACTCATTGAGAAAACGCGAATTCATCAGCTTCCAATGATCTTAAAAATGTTATATACATATTTACCTAGGGCGGATTGCGTGAGCATCACTGGGTTGAACAACTCCGGCAAGACGACGCTGCTGAAGCTGCTGGTGAGCGAGGCGAAGCTGAAGAGTGGACAGATCTGGATCATGGGCTACTCGGTGCAGCGCCACCGGCTGAAGTGCTACCGAATGGTGGGCTACTGCCCGCAGCGGGACAACCTGCCGGCGGAGTTCACGCCCCGGGAGCTGCTCTACATTCACGCCCTGCTCCAGGGACACAAGCACCGGATGGCCCGGGCGTTGTCGGAATCGCTGCTCCGGATGCTGGGACTCACCATATGCTGGAATCGATCGGTCCGCATGTGCACCTCCGGTCAGATCCGGCGATTGTACTTCGCCTACGCCGTAATGGGATCCCCGGATCTGATCTGTGTGGACGGGGTGCCGGCTGGTCTGGATCCCACTGGCAAACGGATCATCCTGATGATGACCTCCACCCTGCAGGCGATGGGCTCCAGTTTTCTGTACACCACACTGACCAGTCTGGACGCCGAGCGACTGTGCACGCGGACACCGCACCTACTGGAGGGCCAGCTTTGGATGCTGGGATCTGTGGAAGCCCAGAACGAGAACTACAGGAACGGTTATCAGCTGGAGGTTCGGTTCAAGCGCAAGGTCAATCCAAATGTCAGCATGTCACGAACCACCTGGAACCTCATCAATCACTTTCCCATGTCGCCGAACAAGAAGTTCAGCGCCTTCATGGAGATCAAGTTCCCCGACGCCACGCTCAAGTGAGTTTATCATATATAGATATTGGGTGAGCAAACAACCAGGCCAACAAGGATGATGTTTCATTTTTCAGGGCCGAAAGGGAAGACTCGATGGTTTTTCAAATGCCCTTGGGCACCACCACCTTTTCGGAGATATTTCTTACACTGCGCAAAGATGCCTTCGAAATGAACATCGAGGACTATTTCATCACGCGCAATATGCGCACAGGGTTCCAGATCTATAGCATTGATCAATATCAGGACAATCCATGAGTAGTATAGTCCTATTAAGTAATACTTTGTTTAGTTTCTTTTGTTTACAGTTCTTTTGGTGTTGTGTTAAACTTATTTTATTCCCAAATATTGTGCCCAAAAAATAAGAGTTTACATTTAGATAAAATTTAATTCAATCGTATAATATACATTTAACATAATTTGTAAATTCTCATATGTATCGTAGAGTTTGTGCCACAGTTAAATTGACTTATTTAAACGCTTTGGTTAGCCGGTCTAAGTACATCGAAATTAATACACATAGTTCTATATGCAACAAGTTTCCTTTAGGCGCTGGGAATAGTTTCCGGACCAGTCCGGTCAATACTTCTTGGGGGAATAAAACAAAACTAAAAGATTATGGGAACTTATCGTGCATGTCAAGCAGATATAACTATACATATATATATATATAGCAAACATACAATATATAGATCTCTCTTCGTTATAGTGTAAATTTTGCTAGATGATCACAATAAAAAAAGGCATGATTTCTGCTATCTATTGTCAGGTCGACCTTAGAAACTATTTGTTAGCTGTTCAGGCATCGGCGTTGTTTTTTGTTTACAACATTTTTAGCTGTGAGTGGGTAAGATCATATCAGGATCGGATCGGATCAGATCGCATAGGTAGTTGGTTCAATACTCATTAGCTAGCAGGCACTTGCACAGCTTCCTCAATTCGGAGAGTCGGCTGGATATTGATTGGAAACATTTCAGAAGGGAGGAGAAAGAACAGACATAACAGGGTTAACATTAGCTCGGGATTCAGAGTGGTGGGATGTTAGTGGCATACGCATGCAGCTGAGTTAGCTTGTATCGATCGAAGGGTTTAGCACTAGGGTTAGGATGTAAACTAAAACTACAAACATAAAATCGTTAAATAAAATTCATAAAATAACAGATGAACTACTTCGGGTGCTGTCGTGTATGGAAGTACGATGACGGTGCTGTCACAGTGTTCATTTGTGTGATGGTATGTTGTGACAAGGAGAAGATGAAGCCAGAAAGCGAGAAGCCCGTTAAAAGCCAGGTGGTGTTAGCAACTGGGTGTTTGGTCTTTTTGGGAGCTAGCTCACTGATTGGCGCGCGTATCCTCGCGCTGGTACTTGGCGAACTCCAGGAAGATCTCCTCTAGCGTTGTCTGGCTGACCGAGTAGTCCTCCACATTCAGCTGGTCGCGATTGCTTTCCATCAGGCCGAAGATGCGCGACCATTTCACCCCAGCCAATGGAATGTAGAACGTCAAAATGCCCTGGTACTCCTCCCTATGGAAAAAATAATATGATTAAAAATATTAATTTCAAATCTCTTAATAAATAAAACTCACTGCAAAATGGAGTGCGGATATTCGTTCTCCACAAACTCCTTAACGGCATCGATGTCCTTCTGGACCATTTGGGCTGGCACCGTCTGCTCATCTGGATTCCGCGCAAAGCCGCCACTCAATCGTGCCTGCCGCAACGCCTCCAGATTGCGACGCACCTTGATCTTGAGGATCAGACCCTTGGAGAACTTGTTCTTCAGGTGCTGCGTTGAGCCAATGCACTTGAATTCACCGTTCACCATAATGGCCAATCGTGTGCACAGCGCCTCGCACTCCTCCATGCTGTGTGATGTGAGGACAATGGATTTGCCAGAGTCACGAATGCGGCAAACCATGTTCCACAACTGCCGCCTGGCCGCCGGATCCATGCCCGTTGTAGGCTCATCTAGGTAAATAACGGACGGACTTCCGATCACAGCAATGGCCGTACTCAATTTTCGCTTATTTCCACCACTATAGGCGTGCGTTTCCTTATCGATGTGCTTCATGAAGCCAAAGGATTTGGCCAGCTCCTCGGATAATGGCCGAATCCGCGACTCCTGGACCCCGCGTAGCATGCAGAAAATGCGTAGCACCTCGCGACCCGTCAGATCGTCTAAAAGTGCATCGAACTGCGGACAGTAGCCGATCATCTTGTAAATGCTGTTCATGTTCGACTCCAGGCTCAGACCTTGGACGTAAGCGGCTCCCGAGCTGATCCGCTCATCGCCGGTCATCATCTTAAACGTGGTCGTCTTGCCGGCACCGTTCACGCCCAGCAGCCCAAAGCATTCGACTCTAAGGAAGAGACAAGGAAACGAGTTCCACGATTAGCGTTAATCTTTAAAATTAAGAATTAATTGCTAAAATTGATAATGATTAAATCATTACAAATTTAAAAATCATTACAAACAAGTAAAGCTAGATAACAGATCACATGTTAGAAAAATGAAATCCAACATATGTATTTTACTTACTCCTGTACGCAGAGCGACACCTGATTGACGGCCAGGAATTGACCGTAGTATTTGGTGACCCGATCCAGGACTAGATTCTTAGCGGCCAGCTCATCGGAGGTCATGTGAAGAATGCGCTCCCGTTCATTGACCACATCATCATCCAATTGGCCCTCGGCCGGTGGCGGCGGTGGTTTACTATTGTATAAGAGATTCACAAAGTTAGATGAACATAATTTCGAAGCCACAACAACGTACGATAGCATTTGACGGATCTTAAACATCAGCTCATTTATTAGTCTGAACTCCAGCACAATGATGATGAGGAAGAAAACGACGCCGGTGACGGACATGTAGACAACCTCGGGCAGAACGCCGGGTTCTTCCCAAGCAAAGAAAGGCTTGATGTCTGTAAATAATATAAATAAGTCAGCTATATGATAAAGTTAACTCAAGGGATGGATCCGAATTAATAGAAAAACATCATAATAAACAAAAAACAGCAACCAGGTTACAAACATTTTTAAGGCGTTAATATCTTTTAAATTAAAAACATACGAAAGCTTCCATATGTATAATTTAATGAAGCAGTATCGAAATTTCGCTTTGGAATAATTACTAGTCATCAATATTAGATATCTTAGAATACTCACTGCAGCATTGTGGAATCAACTCGCAGAGTAGGATGGGTGGTATTGCTCCGACCTTGGCGCACGCATTCCGCGTGGCCGTGTTGGTGTAGACCTTATTCAGACTCATGGCCAGCGAAAAGTGAGGAAAGATGCGGAAGATCCAACCCAATATATTCGCCGTATCCTTCGTGTCAAACAATTCCGAAGACATCACCACAATCACAATGAACAGGGCCATGCCGCAAAATATGTTGACAATGGAGACCCGAGCAAAGCCAGTGGCTGGTTCCTTGAAGAACAGCGACATGATGTAGACGAATGGCAACACGGCGAATCCAAAGAGCAGCAGCAGCAGGTAGTATCTGCCCAGTTCCCCGAAGCTGGACAGCCCGGGCTCCTGGAAACAGACGATCGTTATCACAACGATCAGAGCCGTCACAATGTAGGTGGCGAAATCACAAATAAATTGAGACAACCAGAAGGTCCACACTTTAACGCCGCCCACAAACTGCAGCAATTTGGCTCTGGACTCGCGCTCCTTGATCATAAACAGGATATATATGGAGCTAACGAAGCACATGCAGAAGCACAGATTGGATGCCAGCTGGGTGCCCAGATTGGTGCCCATGCTCAGCTGCGAGAGCAATGTGCTGGTGGTGTACGGCAGCGGTGCGTTGGTCACCTGGATCTTAATGTTTGGATCGAGCTGAGTGGCAATGGCATTGTGCACCATGTTGACTGTCAAGGGAGCAGTGTGCAAGGCCTGGTTGTTTAGCCAAGCAGTGATATTGGAATCGTCAATAGTGGCGGCCACCAAATAGCGCGAGTTGATTCGCACCTGGATAGTCCTTCCCAGTTTCAGGATGTAATCCTTAAATCAAATAATATCTGGTTAAAAGAGTTTGAATGGGGATTGGTCTAGGTTAGTCTTACCTCAAAGCCATCAGAGCCTGTTTGTTCGAGACCATAATTACTGCCATAGGAGCGAGCCAACTGCTCGTATTGGTTAGCTATCTCGGAGGTTTGCGTGCCGTTTGTCACCTTAGAGCGGTCGATAACGGTCACTGCCGTGGGATATTGACTCAGCGAAATGGTAATGGGACTTAGCTCCCGGAAAGTCCCCTGTGTCTCGATAATAAGGATGGTGATCACCACGAAAAACACCGGCATAATGTTCTGGATGAGCAGGAGCAACTTGTTGCGCCACGTATAGAGGAACTTCTTGAGCAGCATGGCCTTCCATTGGTTCGATAGCAGCTGCATTCCCTGGAGCAGTCGTCGATTCTCCGAGAAGATGCCGTCGGCTGCAAACAGTTAATTGAGCTTATCGGGAATCTAAGATCCAAGATCGAGTTCAAACACTGCTTACACTGTACGGATTCGCTGTCATCTTCGCCACGGAATCCGCTGCCACCGTTCATAATCTCGCTTTGGTCCTTCAGGTTGCCGGTGATGTCCTTTTCGGCGCCGACCTTCATGAACACCTCCTCCATTGAAGTGATGCCCACGCCGTAGCCATTAAGATGGAGTTCCTCGGATTGATCCTCCAGCTGGCCGAACATCTCCTCGAACTTGGCAGAGGCACTATCCGGCAATTGGTAGGACAGCTCCGCGCCAATATCGCACTCGGGCTTCAAGCCCGGAATGTACTTGTTCAGCAGGGCCGTCACCTCATTCGTCTCGCAATTGTCGCGCTTCACACATATCTTAAAGGGTTTTAGAAGTAAGCTAAAAGTACGAAAAAAGCATGACCGGCGCACTCACCAATCGGTAACCCGATCCATACTGTTTCTTCAGGAAGAAGGAGGTGCCATGGCACTTGAGTTCGCCGTCGCACATGATGGCAATCCGATCGCCCAGCACATCGGCCTCGTCCATAAAGTGAGTGGTCAGCAGCACGGTGCGTCCCACCTTCTCCTGCTCCAGCAGATCCCATAGCTGCCGCCTTGCGGATGGATCCATTCCGGAACTGGGCTCGTCGCACAGCACGACCTTTGTATCACCGCAGAGAGCACAGCAAACGGAGAGTTTGCGCTTCATGCCGCCGGACAGTTTCGATGAGGCCACATTTGCCTTGTCCTCCAGCTCGATCATCTTCAGATACTTGGCCACCTCCTGTTCGACGGCCTTGCCCTTCAGTCCCTTCATTCGGCTGAAGAATCGTATGTGATTCGACACACTCATTTCATCGAAAAGGACATTGTGTTGCGGACAGATGCCCAGGGACATGCGGGCTCCTTCGATATTGGTGCGGATGTCACTGCCGTTTATAATGGCCGTGCCGCTCGTTGGCGGGAACATGCCCGTCAGCATCGATATAGTGGTGGTTTTGCCGGCTCCATTGTGACCCAGCAGGACAGTAATCTCATCCTCGAACATGTTCATGGACAGGCCCTTCACAACCATCTTGTCGCCAAAACGCTTCTTCAGGTGTCTCATCTGCAAGCCGATGTGCTTGCCCTCCGGTTCGGCTTCGAAGGCTTTGGGATCCCGTGGCTCAACCTGGCCATTGGGTATGTCCTCCACGCCCGTGTACTCCCGTTCGCCGCACCAAAACTCCCGGGTGAATGGGAAGTTCCAGGGTCGCGGCACGCCAAAGCTGCCCGGCATCACCTGCTCCACATACAAACAGATGGTCATGCAAATAAAGCAGGATACCAGCATCATGATCATCACGGCGCCGACGGTCAATGTGTCATCCACGGAGACGGGCGTGAAGAAGTTGCTCCACTGCAGACCCTCGCCGGTGCCCTCGAAGCCCAGGATCAGCTTGATGCCAAAGCCCATGGCCGTGTTCGAGATCAAACTCCAGCCCAACTTGGCGGTCAGACTCAGGCTGTCGTACGTGTTAATCGTAAAGGAGTACGGAATGTAGGCGATGAACCAAATCAAACCCGTAACCGCGGCCGCCGTGCTGGCTCTCGAGAAGAAGGTGGCCATCATGAAGCAGAAACAGATGCTCGCCGTGATGTATATGATCAGGAAGAAGACCAGGGCACTGAAGTTGGCATATGTGAGAACGGCCACCCCATCTGACCAATTGATCTTGACCAGTATGGCAATCAGTATGGCCGATATGGTCAGCATGATGAAGGACTTGACAAACCAAGCGGTCCAGTGCAACCAATTGCTCAATCCCATGATCTTCATCACCTCCTTCAGCTGTTTCTCCTTCTCGGCGGTGATGTACTGCAAGTGAATGAAATGCCGTGAGTGGAGGAGGTGTATTAACCACAATCCCGGCATACCCACTTACCTTGGTGATGTACGTGCAGGGATAGATGAAGCTCAGCAGTATGATCAGCGACATTATCGACGACATGCCCTCGAGCAGGGGATCGAAGATGTAGGCGGGATACGGATAACGTTGCATCCACACCGTCGGCAGGTCCTGTTCGCCCGTCTTTTGCCGTATATACGCCATGGAAAGGCTGTGTTGCAGGGGCAGGAAACCCTCGCGCAAATATCCCGGCGGTATGCCACCATCATCATCCGCTTCGTTTCGCGGTCCCGTGAGATCAATTGTGGGAAACAGACGCATTGTCAGCCAGGTGTTCGCTATCGCAATTGTCGCCGTTCGCAGTTCCGATGGGAATCGCAGTGCGAAGTGAAAGTCATCGGGAAGATCGTTCGTATCGTTCAGATTGGCCCAGGCATCGTCGAACTGGATGCCGGCAAAGGCGCTCCGACCGACCGTATCCAATGCCAGCTGGCTGGCATTCTCCGATCCCCAGATCGTATCGTTCATAACGCTCATACCGAGGCTCTGCCATGCCTCCTCCACCAGGTTCTTCAGCACGGGATTTACGGGCGAGTAGCACAGCTTGAAGTTCGTGAAGACGGTATGCGACCTACAAATTTGGTATCCAACGTATTAATATGACTCTTAAGATGGTATATTTAACATACAATTTTCTGTTAATCATATGATTGAATTAGTTGATTATGGGTTAATTGGAATGTGCGATGGGAGTGCAGGCATTTCTCGGAAATAAAAGTTTCCATTGAGAAACAATTTAAACCATAAACCGTTTACCAAATTCTTAATTTGAGTCTTCTCTAACATTTTGTATTTTTTTTTTATTTAATTTTCCTCATCAACTGTGCTGATTCAGATACATTATGTTTTTGTGCACTGTTTCTGTGACTTAAAATGTAATTTTATTTAAATGAAACATTCAGAATGTTAAGAATTTGATTAGTCGTTATACCCGTTACTCGTAGAGTAAAAGGGTATATTGTATTCGTGCAAAAGTATGTAACAGCTAGAAGGAAGCGTTTCCGACCCTATAAAGTATATATATTCTTGATCAGGGTCACTAGCCGAGTCGATATAGCCATGTCCGTCTGTCCGTCTGTCTGTCCGTCTGTCCGTCTGTCCGTCTGTCTGTCCGTCTGTCTGTCCGTATGAACGCTGAGATCTCGGAAACTATAAAAGCTAGAAGATTGGCATTTTGCATGCAGATTCTAGGAGTTCCTACGCAGCGCAAGTTTGTTTCAAAAAGGTGCCACGCCCCCTTAAACGCCCACAATCGCTTATATACGATTTTAAAAATTTAAATATTTCGGAAAAGTAAAAATGCAGTTTTATTGTGTTTATCAATACATATCGAAATGTAGAAGAACTTTTTCAAGTCGGACCATTCGTTAAAAAGTTATGCGTGATCAAAGTTTCTATCTCCATCTCCCTCGCACTCCCTTTACCTGAGTAACGGGTATCTGATAGTCGGGGAACCCGACTATAGCGTTCTCTCTTGTTTTAACCTATTATTTTCCCTAGGGTGCTTTCTAGTTTTAGCTTTTGTTAAGTTGGTTAGACTTTGTATTGTGTGCTGTTATTTTGTTTTATTGGGGTTTGTTTGATTTGTTTACCTCCGTCGGTTGGGTGCAATCAGCGCTATGAGCTTGCCAAGGTAGGACGATCTATGCAACGAATGTCTTCAGGTGTTGTGGCCAGAACAAGACAAAAAACATTTACATATATTGGATTTTCGAAAATCTAAAGGGTGATTAGGAAAAACTGCATAGTGGTAGCAATAAAAGATAGGATAATATTTGCGCGTTCAATAATACAGTATTTTGAAAGAAAAACCAATAACATTTTTTAAGCAAATAAAATAGTAGCAAAATAAAATATAAAGAGCTAAGAAAGTAGGAATTGTAATAATTGTCTCTAGCATAGCATAAATTCAATAAACGAAAGCAACAAATAGATTTAAAAAATGGAAACAATGCGGTAACAAAAGTAAAATGCTGGGACAAAAAGCACAGGTATCGAGATCAAGCTAAAAACTTACTGCAACAGACTGAGATCTGTTAGGGGCAGTGCATTATACGTCCTGTCACCCTTCTGCTCCGTATCGACCAGGGTACGGACCAGGACCAAGAGCAGGGAGAATATCGCCGGCAGCACCAGCTCAATGACCATTTGCCACTTGTGGTTCCATTGGAGAGTCCAGTTCTTCCACAGTAGCAGCACAAACTTGTCCCAGTTCGTGACCTTTGCCATTTTGCAGCTTTGTTCGATTGGCTTATTAACTTTTGTATACTACATCGACATTTAAATCGGTTAAAATTTGTATCTGCAATAAACAAAAATATAATTTAAAATTTTCAATAATATTTGTAAAAGAGAAAATATTCAAGAACAAATTACAATACAAATACAAATCATTTACTTTTTACTTTCTGCGAAAAACATATGTGTTTACATATAAAAATAGAAAGAATAGTCAAACAAATAGTCAAATAGTCAACATTACATTGACTTTTATTGACCTCGATTGCTATGTTCAGTTATTCATAAGCTTTGTTGAAGTTAATCCTTTTCACAGCAAAAGTAAAGTAAAAGTGAAGGTAAACCAATACCGAAGAATATGTGCCAAGGAGAGGGTCCGTAGTTTTAAAAGTATAAATTAATATTGTATTTGTAAAAAAAAATTTCAAAAATGTTTTGAATTAAAAGACACAAAAAACAATTTCCCATATACATTTTAATTATTTTCACGCTGTGATTTTAAAGCCCATAAAATTGAACGCTATATATACCGTTTTAAAATGTATACTACATTTTAAAGGTTTATTCAAGAACGCCAATCTAGGCACCTGATATTAATTTATTTTAAGTTTATCCTGAAAAAACAACTTGTTATCATGTTTAAAATGTAACATTTATATTTATACGGAAATACGTATTACTTATAGAAGTTAACTGACCCCGTGCACGAGTGGAAATCATCCAAGTCAACAAACAACAATCCAATGTGCAATGTCAAGTGCGACTATCGATCTATGAAGTGTGTCCAATTATCTAATCATCGTCGGTTATGTTAGATTGATAAGGCTTGCACAAAGCATAATAAAAAAACATTGACCAAGGTAAATAAATCATAGCTCTTGTAACACCATCGTTACGGTTGTTTTTCGCTACGCCCTTATAAACAAACTTATCAGTTTACAAAGTCTATAACATTTTTATGATGTGTATCAAAAATTACCATAATTACCTAAATAAATGAAATATTTCCAAAGTAATCTAAAAATGTATGTTTGAACATCTATAAACAGTTACTTCTACTATAATAAACCGACTAGTGTCACATAAAAGAAATGTTAAATACTAAGATTATTTTCAAAACATCTCAAATAATCTTTTATACTTTCATTTTATATAGTTTCTTTATTTCTGACTTGTTTAAGTATTGGAAAACCCCTGATAACCTTCGTTCCCTTAAAGTTGCCTATAAGCGAAAATTTAATTGAAGCATTTATTGCTTAGATTTTAGAATTCATTATCGAATGCACTTAAATCGTCTGGTATTTTAATCTTAGCATGGCCTGATACTTTATGTGTCTAAATATAACGAGGGTTAATTCCAAAAGTTGTCTTCGTTTGTTCTCAGGGAACATAACACTCGCACAGGAACAATTATGCAACTACAATGGGAACCATTATAACACTAAACCCGACAACTGGTTCTACATTTAGTGTCTAGCCGTCAATGGGAAAAAGTTGCTGATCTAAGGATGATTCGCAAAAAATAAAGTTTAAAATCCGATAAGCGAAAATGCTTCCGAAGAAGTTCGCCCATGACTGTGGGAAATATGTGTTAGTTTAATAGATTTAATATTATAAATAGCCATTGTTATTATTATTATTAGCTTTTTTATTTTTACTTTTTTATATTTTAAGTCAGGGTTTTTCATGTGAATTTGAATATAACACAAACAAAAAAATGTTCAACGATAATACGTCATTTACATCAATATTGTAAGATTGCATTGCTATCTTTATATTTATATACCAGGCTTCGATAACCAGTTTTATATTGTTTTTTTGCTACACTTTTGATTGACAAAATGAATAGCTGTACCATACATACATATACCTATACTTTTTTCTGTGAATCATACTAAACAGAACAACTATTTATTTTGCTTTATAAAGTCTCAAATTCAATCCATATAGTTTCCATTCAGTTTTTAATGATGAATTACATATTTTTGGAGAAAACTAATATTATTGTTATATGGTTTTTTTTTTGCACCGATTGGGTTTGGTTGTCGGGAAAGTCCAAGTTATTCCGGTAATGACTATAGCGAAGCACCCATATATCCGTCAGTAGAAGCACCAACGCACAAACCCGTGTAGAACAGGAAAAAACAGAGATAAACGACATAAATCCAGAGAGCGTCAGCGACAGCTGTACTACCGATATGATAATCGGAGGGCGGGGGCAGTAGACAATGGGCGTGGCATTTCCACCTGCCAAGCACTGGCACTTACCCGAAGCTTAGCCAAACAAAAAGTGTCACACCACGGCACAAGAATAAATAAAAAAAAAAAATGAGTCGGTGTGAACTTGAATACGGATACTCGGTAAACTCGCGAACTCCGGCGGACACTCGACCGTTTCGACGGGCGGACTATTTCCAACTGAGTCGCAACGCTGGGCAATATTCCTTATTTATCAATAGAACCCAATCTAGCGCAGCTCCAATAAAGCTAATAGCATTTATTGTTTTGGCCTGGCCAAGAAATGATAAGCCCTCTCGCTCTCGGTACAAGCAGACACATGTACCCGTGTCCGCGTTCAGTTTTCGGCTTTATCGGTGCAGGGATGTCTGGGTACCCATACAGACCCACTATTGGGAGTTGACATATTAGTCATAGAGTGCCTGGTATTTCATGTCATTACTGTTAATATTGTTCAATTGATGTTCAATGGCTCTATTTAATTTCCCGCTTAAAACATATAAAGAATGGTTTATAAACATATATTACATTATACAAATATTCCCAAAAGAAGACCCATTAGGCTTTTAACAAAAACCAAAAGCTAAACTATTTATTATTAACCGTTGCCAATGGCCACTTTGATAAACATTAGTTCATTCAAAAATGTACTCGCTTTTAGAGCTTTCTAATAAAGGTAATTGCTTTTAAGTTGATATCGCTTTTGATATTGATATCGTTTTATATAATCGTTATGTAAGATTGGAAGGACACTCTAATTTGTAATAAAAATAGCAATAATTACCTAAATATGTTTACAAACAATTCATCTTAGAAAACAACCACATTAATATTATTGCAATATTATTGCATTATTGGTTTGCCTCATTTATAAATTATATAATTATTATAATTTAAGAATTAGTATTTGCATATTAATATCTCTGAAAACAACAATTGAATAAAAGGTTTAAATAAGATTTAGTTTTCTTATTCTTTCAATTTTGTGAGTAATTCTAACACATTTCTAGTATTCAAAGTTCAGTTTCATTGATCCACACCCAGAGTTGAATCATACGAGACGCGTGGCTCTTATTATTATCTATGGGTAACTTCCTTATCAAATTTGATCACTTTTGTGATTTACACTCGTCACTGGAGTAGTTGAATGATTCAGGTTAGTTAGGGTTAATTGCATGTCGGCATTATGCGAATCTTGAGTGGACATGCCACGGTGAAGGAGTTTGGCCTTGATTATTCCGATTAGACAGAACCACTTTTTGGCAATATTCTCCGAAAATTTGCTGGTAAATGTTCTTTATACGGACACCTGTTCTTCGCAGAGACCTTATCGTATGACCATTTTAACGGTAACTATGACATCGGCGATTTATATCGCCGCGTTTAATTTATATTACCAGCTCCAGAGTGCAAACACGTTTTACTTTCGTCTGGGCGATAAAAAATCTTTAAAAATTAAATTCAAAAAAATAAATTAATTCATTTTTAATATAATGACAGCTTTCATTGGATGTAACATAATTTAATATGACATAAATTAAAGGTGCAGGCGAATCAATTTCTTGTCACCTAACTCTTTGTTGCATACTGGGCACTTCGGTCTATCGCGAAGGGCAGTTGAAATGCAGTCGTTGCAGAAGACGTGTCCACAACTGGTTGCAGCTGGCTTCCGATGAAAGGCTAGCTCCAGGCATACTGGACACTCGTAGGATTTGGGTTCCTCCACTAACTTAAAATCGCTGAAAATGTCCCAAAGGAGCGATGACTCCAGCGATGACTCCAGCAATGACTCCAGCGATGACTCCGGCGATGACTTCGGCGATGCCTTCGGCGATGACTCAGGCGTGCACAAGTCTATTGTTTCAATGGGAGAACGGCTGCGGGATTGACGCGATTCCATTTTGCAGTAATGAAGTAATGCTGAGCCCAAAATCTTTCTAGATTAATTTTATTTTCTTTGACATGTACAAAAGGCTTTCGGCAAAACACTGAATGTGGCAGGCCCTATAACTTTTGACAGGAATTTTAAATCGAATCATGGCATACTGCGTTACTAGAGTTAGTCCAAGGCAATATATCGGCATCGAATAAAATACTAATTTTAAAACGCCATAAAATTAATCAACATTTCTTTTAATTCGCCATCAAATAATGAATATACAACCATATAGAAATTGGATAGATTGACCAAAGATTATCAATAAATTATCTTATTTCCCAGTATGTTGATTTTTTATTCAAAAACACATACCCAAATTTCGCGAAATATTTACCATTCAAATTAGAAAGTTTTGTAGTTAAATTAAGTAAAATATCGTCCGTATTTTCCGAAAAATTTATTTATTTATTTGGGTGTGTTCCCATACATTTTTGAAAATTATTCGCGTTTTGGATGGTGCGAACCGTAAACTAGAGTATCACCAAATATTTGAAAGTAAGAATACAAAAAAAAATGTAAATTAACTTCCTTCGAGCCGGATTTGAACCAGCGACCTATGGATCTCTGCTGTTTCCAATTACCATCTACAGTCCACCGCTCTACCAACTGAGCTATCGAAGGGGGCATTGGGGGCTGCGATTGAACAGATAAACAAGAGCTACGAAAAGCGAAGCCACACGAACTAACAAAAGTGAAAGGTAAGCTATATGATGCATATAGCATATAGTATATAGAAATTTTAAATTAAACAATGTCGGGTGCGAAGACGATGACACAACCTTCGATAGCTCAGTTGGTAGAGCGGTGGACTGTAGATGATGAGCTGCATAATAAATGCAACAATAAAACCAAGCAGAGATCCATAGGTCGCTGGTTCAAATCCGGCTCGAAGGATTACATTTTTTGCATAAACTTATTTAAGAAAACTATAAATTCTTCAAAGCGATAAAATATTTATGTAGACACGAACCCCCCGATAGGAACACAATGCGAAAAATCTGATATGGATTCTTTCTTAGAATGTACCGAAAGCAATAACACCTCCATTCATCACGAGGACCTCAACCTGCTGACTAACTTGTGAACTGTGATGAATCATCGGGTGTCGTTTATAGCGCCTGGTATTCAGACACGTGACGCGCATAAAGGAGGAACACTATACTACACTATCGCCAACTGATTGGACAATCTATCGACCAATTTAGTATTTCTCGTAGTAAGTAGGTTGCAGTGCTGATAGTGTCATTATCATGTATTCAGTACACCCACTTCACGCCACCATACAAATCCCAAGTGTTTTAAAGCAATATTTATAACAAATGGAACTATATATTTTTCTCATCTTTATTTTTAGGTAATAAGAAAAAACAGGCCCTAGATCTTTAAACTGAGAGTACCTCTTGTTATCATATGAGTCACACAAAAACTTTGCAATCTCAATGTTTTGACAAGATACTGCTGTACCATCTTGTAATAAAGAGAGTTATCATGTTATTTTTAGCAAATTGCCAATATATGTAGTACATTTTCCGATATGATTGTGAGTCATGTTATTAATTACTTTCAACCAGCCAATCTGCCCCTAGAAAATTAGATAATACTCAATTATTTTTGCACTTACCCTTTGCACGTTTTGCTGACAATAATTGAAATTGTAATTCTGTTTATCTTGTATAGTTGTTCGTGCGATTAAGTGTGGTTCCACTTAATGATATAAATTAGATCGCGCCTTGGTCGGCGATGGGCATTACTGCATAATAGCTTGGCAATCAATCGATTTGCGGGAATTGCCATTAATTATTTATGCTAAAGCGATGCCTTTTCTGCGAGTTTATATGCACTGACACTGCGATAAGAATGTAGTATATAGAAATGTAATAACAGGGCTACTATTTTTCAAACAATTATTTTTTAAGCCTTTTAAGTTTAAGTTTTTTCTTGGTTATCAGGCTATTTTATATCATTTAATTGTATCAAAAAATATTTCAAACCAAGTATTTCATGGAAGATCCATAAATTGTACTTTTTTAGGCAGATTGAAGGATGTTTGTGTTATGAAATGTCTACTCTACCTGACAGTTTTTTCTATATTATAAGTGATTTAAATTTGAATCTCTGGGATAGAAATCTTTTGAATCTTTTAAGATTGGTATATAACAAAAAAATTGTATGTGATTTTAAAAATAATGACACCAAGATGTTTTGAAAGAGACTATAAAAGTTTTTCTCATAAAAATAAATCTGTAATTTGATTTGTGTTATGAAATATCTAAAGCAGTTTCTCAAGATCGCTCAGCCCTGGAAGTAACGGTCAAAGTTCAACACCAATGCCCTCTAACTGTAAATGAAACTGCATCACTTGCAGATGCGCATGCAACACTTTACGCCCGGGAAAATGTATGTATTCACCGTTATACAGACAATTTTGGCGCCTCGCGAAAACGATGCATGTGTGTGTGCATTGTGAGCGGAAATACTCGGAAAAACTTTCATGGTTCAAGGGCAACCGCCCGCATCAACGAACCGGCAAATCTACGCCGATAACTCCGATTTCGCCCACAGTGCGGCTGTCTAAAGAATATTACGTACGAGAACCGACGGCATATATATAAACAACTTATATATGGATAATGCTGTTATTAGTTTTTATCACTCGCTGCGTCATTGAGTGTCCAAAAGTTCATAGTTTATTCGAGCCATTCATCAAAGTGCGCACTTTCATTTGTTTTTTTGTTTTTATTTTTCGAAGAAATTGTAGTGATTTTTTTTCGGGGCTAAACAGCTGTTGCCCCCACACACACACACACGGGAAAAAAATCACAATATAATAAAATAGTACTTCTAACGCCGCCGGAGATGACAAATAAAATGAATCGAAAAGAAACAACGGCAAGGCGGGCGCAATAACAACAATGAGAGAGGGAAGAGAGAATCAATGCTGGCAAGTCAGCGTCTAGCTTGCTTACAGCTAGCGGGAAATGCCAAGCAAAATAATTGGAAACATAGAAACTAGCGGGAAATTTTGTTGAGAAAATAAATCAACTTATTTTTGAAAATTTGAGAAAAACTGAGAAAAAAATAATTAAATATTATTTATACCCATAGTAGTCACGAAATGTAAAAAATTTCATCATTTTATTTTCTACTTCTGCCTCAAAATCAGCCTTTTTTTAGTCGAAAGTTCCCAGTACTGACGGAAAGAAAAAGAAGGAGATATAACTGTTACGTCAGCAGGCAAGAGAGCGCGCAAAATTCTAACGCTACAAATATGAGCAGCGATTAATCGTCTATCGATTAATGTTGGGCGCGCGGAAAAATAACTTTAAATAAAGAGCCTCATATAAGTGGTAATTCTTTTAAGCAAGTCTGAAATGTGCCTTTTAACAGTTAATAGTTAAGCCATTTTTCATCTTGAATAACCTTTTATTTGAACTATCAATATGGAAAATCAATTTTTCTTTATGAACACGCAAATGAAAAATGAATGCCGGCACGTGGAGAACTTCCCAGCGCTGTTAAATTTCCCCAGGGATTCACATTAATTATGCAACCCAACACGTGTGCAACCAGCCAGGCTATAATTTATTGAAAGCGGGAAAGCCCAGAATTCCGAGGTGTTTAGTCTGGACAGCCGAGGTCAGTCATTGACCTTCAAATCAGCACTGCCGACTTTAAATATTTTACAAAAAGTTAATGGATTACTTTGTACTAGATTAAATTATTATATCAACAACCAAAGGAAGGATTTATGTACCTATTTATATTAATATTTTGTACATACATATATACATAAAATGTAACAAACTTATTTCACTTATTCCATCTGCTAGTCATTATAGTTGATAATTAACTATTCCCATAACTAAATATAATTAAAAACTGTCAAAAATGAATATATCTTAGTTTCGCAACACTGTTTAGAAACATATAATGTACATATAAAATAAACACAGCGATAAAGTGGGCCCCCTACCCAGAAAATGGCACGGCATTACTTCTTGCCCTTGACCTTGGGCTGAGGGGTCTTTTTGGTGACCGTGGTGTCCAGAGGCAGCGGACCCTCCGTCTGGACGAGATGGTACTTCAACTGGGCCCGCGTCTCCTGCACCTGGGCCACCACATTGATCATGTCCGCCTGGTAGATGCAGTAGTCGCTCACGTTCAGGCGCAGCTTGTTCTTCTCCATGGCGCCATATAGAAAGGAATACACGATGTGACCCACGGGCACGTAGAACTTGAACCAGTTGTTCAGACGACCCCTGGAAAAAATACAAATATAATTATTGAAAAAATATATATATAATCTCTTAAATTAATTTTCTTTAAGGTCTTTAAAAATCACCAAGATATCTACATATGTGAAAAAAACCAGAACTGAATCTCAAGTAAAATATTTATTTAGCAGCAACTTACACCAGTTCGGATCTATTGTGCAAGAAGTTGACAAACTTGGCCAGATTGTCCACATCCTTACGCAAACTGGGGAATAGTAAAAAAAAAAATTGATTAAAAATAGATAAAGAAAAATCGCCAGAAGAAACCCACTTCTCCTCGGATTCCGCGAGGGTTTCGCCATCGCGGATGAGGCGCACCTCCAGGTAGAATCCATGGCTATACTTGTATCGCAAGTACTGCAGACTGCCGATCGCCAACATCTCGCTGTCCTGGAATAGGATAATAAAGTCCGCCAGGATCTTGCACTCCATCTCATCGTTGGTGGCGAAAATGATGGTCTTTCCGCAGTATCGTATGTATCGGAGGATATTCCAGATTTCCCGCCTCGTGGTTGCCGGCATCCCGCAAGTGGGCTCATCCAAAACGAGTATCTTATTGTAGGCGACCAATGCCAATGCTATTTTCAACTTGTGCCGCTTCTCCGCCGTCAGCAAACTGCACTTGCGATGCATCCAACCGGTCATGTTGAGCATCAGGCACAAGTCGTGCATCTTCTCGCCGATCTTTGCCTCCGGAACACCGCGGATCATGCACAACAGCCGGATGTGCTCCCGCGGAGTGAGCTCATTGAGCAGGCCGCGGTGCTGCGGACTGTAGCCCATGTAGGTGTGGATGCTCTCCAGATCGTACTTGAAGTCCAATCCCCGCACGAAGATCTCGCCAAAGGCGAATCCCTCCTCGCCCACCAATTGTCGCATCAAATGGCTCTTGCCGCAGTTACGGGGCCCAAAAATGCCCATGCTCATGTATCTGAAATTACACAATCAGGTTTAAACTCATATATTTAGGACTATGTTGGCATATTAACATCTGATTCATTATATCAATGCGAAATACATGTTTTTACCGGGTTTTATATCAATAGGCTATGATTTGCGTTTTTTATATCCTTTGAACTGTGTTACTCACTTATTTAGGGCAAAGGAGACAGTGTTGATCCTTTTGCCCGCAGCTGGTACCTTGGCCTCCACCTGATCCACCAAGAACACCGACTGTTTGGCCTTGGTATTATCCGCCTCGGCGATCTTTAGCTTCACGTCCGCCACATCGCCATCGTCGAAGGGGTAAGTGGCGGTCCTCATCTTACGCAGACTGCCGGAGTATCAGATATCCGTATTAAAGAGTTATGCAGATGTATACAAACACTCACTCTCTGGGGGAATGGAACTTCTTCTCCCTGCGGTGCAGCTCAATCCAGAAAATCAGCATCAAGGAAATTAGAGCGGACAATATCATGTAGACAATGGCGGGCAAAATGCCCGGAGAAGCCCATTTGAAATGGGTGTCAACTGGGGATAGTTTAAAATTATAGTAAAATAAAAATTACATTTTAAAAAAATATAAAGTTATTTAGGTCTAGTATAAATTAATGGAAATAATTGGACATCGAAAGCAATTTTAAACTCTTGTCTAAGGATATTTTATAAAATGGTTTTCAATTTAATAAATAATGAAATGACTTTGAAAATGTCTTAAATGTTTTTTTAAGCGTCAAGAAAATATGGTGGGGAACGTTAACAAATTTCAGTATAGTGTAACAATCAAAAACCAGGAAATAAGTGATAGGATCTACAAGGGGTTACCCGAATTTGGGACTCACAACGGCAATTGGGCACCACCTCGTGCATGTTGTCCGGCGTGCAGGTGGCGTGGGCCTGGCACTTGGCATTGCAGATGGCCAGCTCCAGACACTGGGTATACACATTGCTAACTCCGTCCAGCAGGGAGAATCCCGGGGATATGCAGGCGCCGTAAAAGAAGATCGTATTGCTGTTTGCCACGTCCCAGTAGATGATGTAGAGCACCAGGCCGGACACTCCCTGCAGGAGTACGGATACCAGAAAAGCCCGTACAATCGATTTGTACACAAACATGGACACCAGATAGGTGAGCGGCAGAGCAGCCAGTCCAAAGATGGTCAGCAGGAGCACCAGAATGGCATTCTCATAGAATCCAAAGCCGCCGACGCCCATCAGACCCATGATCACCACGATGATGATCGAGTAGATGAAGAAGGTGAACCAATCCCAAAACAGATTGATCCCCCAGAAGACCTTCAGTCCCAGTCCGGCCATGTGCTGCAGGAATCGTACATTGTATATCTCCTCCTCCACCAAAGGGATCACGAAAACGGACACGGTCAGCGGCAGGATGCAACCGATGGCCAGTGGGGCATGGATGTGGGCGATCTTGTTGTCCAGCAGATTGATCTTTCGCGACAGCTGCGTGGGCAGCGGATGATTCTCCACCAGGGTGACTATGTTCTCCCGCTCCGGATACGAAAGTCTGCAAATAAATATAATAAATACAAATAAAATCTATGCTGATTGTAAACGATCCATCGACTGTCTTAAATGATATACCATTTTCAAAGAGCTTAACATTAAGATTTTGAAGTATACGAATGTCTCATGAGGATAAGATAATAAAGATTAAAACAACTAAAAATTTCCAATTAAAATTTGTACCATCTGAACTGAAGTATCTAAAAGTATAGTTCTCACCTTAGAATGACATTGTGCAGCAGATTGAGCATCATGGGAGCCGAGTGAAAGATATCCTGGCTTATATAGCCGTTGAGATTCTGGTCCCCATCCGCCTCCACCGCCCCAAAACTTTTCAGTTCGCTTTTCTTTCTCAAATCATTCCGATAGCTACCCTTTTCGCAGGCAAACGATTTGTCATCAAAGGTCCTGGAGACATCGACTCGCTTTTTCTTTGACACCTTTATGGCCGCCCGGATGTCGATGTAGCCGCAATCCTTCAGATTTGGTATGCTCTTGGACACATCCGTCGGATCCATGAAGCCAATGGCAATCGAGTTCTGGCGCTCTTTCGGCATATCGAGCAGCACCGAAAGACGGGCGACGATGGCGATCAGAATAAAGCTGGTGAAGATCATGATTATGGGCCAGACATTCGGTGCGGTGTGAATCATCTTCTTGTAGAACATTGCCCGCATCCGCTGCCTGGACAGTTGCTTCTGCGACACCACCTGGTACTTGAATGTTTGGGCTGTGAAAAGAGCAATAAAACACCTTAATATGTTAGTTATAAAATCCCCATAAAAATAGATATTGCCCAGCACCACCTGACTTTTAGATAACAATACAAATCATACCAAATTGAAATAACATATTCCTTAAGATCAATTTGGTTAGCAACTTACTGACATCCGGAATCATCTGTTGCTGCAGTCGAAAGGAGGTGACCAGCTTCATATAAATATCGGAGAGTTCCGCACCCACCACTCTCACATTTTCGATGCCCAGCATCTTGCGATCGATTTCCAGATGAATCAATAATTTCTGGAGACGTGGACGGAAGAGTACCGGCAGTCTGTATGTCAGACTATCACCAATCTCATTTTCCGGCTCAATGTTAATCATAAACTGGTTGATGAAGTCCGTGATTGGCTGATCGGGCACATGTGGCTTTTTAATAATGACCTGAAAATAAATATGAAATAATAATAAATACATATTTTCAGCTGATATTATAATGATTTGATTAATAATTTATGAAACTTAATAAGATCGGTAATGTAATTACATGCAATAAAGATTTGTTTAAGAGATTAGGGATTGTAGAAATAGGGTTTCATAAATACCAGATCCACACTGCTGCTGAACTTGGCCCGCAAAAAGAAAGGTGTGCCACTGGCCTCCAGGACGCCCATGCTGAGGATTCCGATGCGATCGGCCACATGCTCCGCCTCGCCCACACTGTAGGTGGATATGATGAAGGCCCGGTTGCCCTTCTCCGCATTGACGATCGACCAAAAGACCTGCGCCTCGCGTCCCGTCAGATTGAGGGTTGGCTCCTCCAGGATAATGATGCGCGTATCTCCGGCCAGGCAACAACATAGTCCCACCAATTTCAAGGAGCCCGAACTCAGTCTTCCGATCCGTGTCCTTCGACTCTCCACATGCTGATCGAGTATGGCCAGCCACTTGCGCCTCTCGATTTCGTAGCGATCGGATTCGCTGGGCGGCAGTTTCAAACGCACATGATAGTCGATGGTCTGCTCCACGGTCAAGTGCTTATTCAGTCCGTGCTCATCGAACCGAAAGTCAATCATGCGACGGAGTTCACCTATTTTTGGTTTAAACAAGGCGAAATGCTTTAGTCAAGGGACCGCGACTTTAAGGTACCCGTTACTAAGCTAAGCAATTTAACAATTAATATGCGGCTAACAAGCTGGTTTAGGTGGCGCCATCTGCTACATCTTCTACGGACGGACAGACAGACGGACGGACAGACAGACGGACGGACAGACAAACGGACGGACAAACGGACAGACAAACGGACAGACAAACGGACAGACAAACGGACAGACAAACGGACATGTCCAAATCGACTTGACTATTGATCCAGATCACTTTAGTAGGCTTATACATATACTTTTCAACGAATACTCTACGAGTAACTAGTAAAATTAAGAACACTATGAGATGCTCCTAAAGTATCAGAAAAGTTTAAGAGCTATATAATTATTCTCACCAATAAAATAAAAAAATATATATATATATATTCCCCCATGATTTTAAATATTTGTAAAACTATACATAATCAAATAAATCTCCGCATGTTAAAAAACAAATGTTTGGGATTTGTAAAGAGTTCAGTGATTCTAGCTCAATCTAGATTTTTGTTAAGTGTGCAAACATCTTACCATTGGGTACAAAGGGCTTGCCCAAAATGGACACACTGCCGCGTAGGGGAAACTTGAGTCCGGCCAGGATCCTCAGCAGGGTGAGCTTACCGGAACCGACATGTCCGAGGATCACGTACACCTCGCCACGATAGATCCGCATGGATATGTTCTTCAGGATCTTTCGCTCCGAATCGCGATGTGTGGTGCTGACATGACGCAATCGCATCAGCTCCACGCTGCCCACATCCCCGAATTCGAAGTTCTGGAAGCTCGGAGCCCTACCCAAATACAAAATGGGCACATCCGTCTCCCTTTGTTTCCGCGGCCTGTTGTTCACTATTCGTCGACTGAGGAATGTGCCCGGCATCCGCCACTGTATCGCCAGTAGAACCAGGAAATAAATCAAGGCCGAACTAATGGCCGCCGTGAAGATCACTACGAAATCAATGGTCTGCACACTGTCCGGGTCTTCGATACAATTCCTGAACAGACTCATGCTGAAGTGCATCTGACAGTTGCAGAAGGCCACCAGGATGAAGAACACATAGTACTTGTGGATGTCCCAGTAATGTTCCAGTATAATACAGAATGCCGCGTACATGAAGAGCCACAGCACCAAGGCGAAAAGGACGGCATTGGTGGGATTGGCAAATAGTTTCGCCACCACCATTCCGGTGATAACGATCTCAACGGTGTACACAATGACGAAGCAGACAAAGGCTATCGTTCCCTTGCCGGAAAACTCACCGTCACGCCCACCAAAGGCCCAAAATGCCTAAATATATTCAAACAATGTACAACAATTTGACTATTGTAAAGTGAGGAGGACTTACCAACATCATTACCACAAATATGGCACTTAAAATGCACATTCTCAGGAAAAGCACCAGAAACTTGAAACCCCATTGCATGCCAAACGAGTACCCATAATGCCACTGATGCACCATTACGCCATCCTCCACCTGGGCAGCTACGTTCTGGAGAAGACACAAACTATTACTAAAATTATATCAAGTTTTAAATATGTGTGCATACTAAATTTCACAACCCTAACTCAAACAGATCCCGAGATCTTTTAGTCCGAATCATTGATCACTCTTATATTGATCATTTTCTGCCCATAATAATTAATGATCAATGAATGAGATATTATATCACCATAATCTTTGGAATATAGTAATAATGTTTTGATAGGTTTTAGCTATTGGTAAACTCACTCTGATAACATTGAGAAAGGGCAGTAGGTATATGAAATTGTACAAGAATGTGGGCAGCCGGGCCAGACTCATCACGGAGCAGGGTTCGTCGGAGACCTTCAGCAGGATGTTGTAGACCTCCACATTCGGTTCGGGAAAGTTGGTTTCAAATTCGATTCGCAAACGATGGTACCACTCCACGAAGATCTGATGCTGCAGCTGCAGAAATCCCTCGCGTATATATATGTCCTGCTGCTTGTCGTGCTTCACCCGATCCCGTCCCGGATTAATCCGTCCCGAGCAGCGGGTTATCCACAGGCGATCTTCGGTGAGGAACGGAGCGATGGTGCGGAATTCGCTGGGGAATCGGATCGAAACGGATAGCGTCGAGGGAGTGCCCTCACCGTTCACATTATGGAACACGATCCCCGCCAGCGTCGTCCGCTCGTCGAACTGATCCTGCATGTCGGCCTCGCTTCCGTAGCCCACCGTGGAGTTCAGTTCCAGCGTCTTGGCCACTTTTTTGGTCACTTCCGTTACGAACGGTGTTTTGGGCGTGTAGGCCAGACTAAACTTGGTCTTCTCCCGCTTCGAGTCCGCCATTCGTCTGCGAAAAATAAATTGTTTTATTGATGGGTTTGTCAAAATAATGCAATCACTAAGGTAACTACTATCAAAATTTCGTGTATGAAACTCTTTAAGCTGCTTACTTTTTTTTAACTACGGGTCTCAAAATTTGCATTAAATGGAAAAAGAATCATTTGATAATCTTATCTACCTTTACACTGATAGTTAACTATTCAATTTAATATGGGTTAAATTTTTACATATGTATGTGATATAAAAGGGATATTAATATTAACCATCTTAATACCTTTAGCTCCCAAAATCCCTGAGAACTGGAAGCTTTTTCGAAATAATTTATAATTATAATCATAAAGGAATGGAGATTAGCCGCTTACGTCAATATGTTGATATCCTGAAGCTTGTGCGATACGATGCTCTGTTCGTTTTCGTTCTCGTTGCTCATGTAGAGAAGTCTCTTAGAGTGGGCGATGGGATTGAGCAGGATCACCAGGACCATGATCACCAGGGTGATGGCCTCGAAGAGTGAGCGCCTCCACAGATTTAGCTCGATTCGAATGTAGCGCTTGAATAACAATACCTTGGTGGCCGGCATCTTGGACGAAAATTGATAACGTGCAGATCTCTCACACAAGGAAAATTAAAAATTAAAAGGTGTAAAATATTTAATTTTCGGCAGAGGATTTTGAATATATTGTTTAGTTTGTTTGAACACAAAACAGCAGTGTTCACAAAGTACATTAGATTGGAATGTTACATTTGAAATTACAAATATGACATATACTAACAAGGCTATTATATAAATATATTAATATTAATTTCTATTAATATTTTGGTTTTCATTTTAAATTCGATTTTTTATTTCAAATTCAATTACCTGTTATCGATAAGATCTAGCTATTTTTTGTGAAATACTATTTGATTAACATGTCTTAAGATTTTCCATTTACACTCTTTAGTTTAATTATAAAGATTAGCACATCAATCTCAGAATATTCGTGTAGAAGAAGTAACAAATGTTCAATTTTCTAAGTAATGTTAAACATTAATTTTAACGGTTTTTTTATCAAGTTTTTTTTGGGTTTTTATCCGCTATCCGCTGAAATTCAAGTGCGATAAAAAATATGTGTCATCTTAAAATTCAAGCGAAGAAAACAATTGACTAATTGGTTGAAATAATTTATTTGAAAAAATAAAAAAACAGAAAATTAATGCCCTCAATTTATGGTATATAAATGGTGTTTCTTGAAACTGAGATTGGTATTTATTTTTGTGCCGCAGGTATTATTTCTTGCTGTCAGCGCGGTCACACTGAAATCAGGCAAAGAATGCCGAGTCATAATTAAAGTAAAAATATAAAATTAACTCGAGAAGTATTCGTATGGTGGCAGAAACAACACAAATAATAACGAATTAAAACGCAACAAAACACACGAGAAAATGACGGTAACGAATCGGGTAAGATAAATGAATCCCAATGTTTTTTCGGCGCATAAATCGTTGCTAATATCGAAATCAATGTTTTTACAGATGGAAATCGAGTCGGCCTACCAAAAAGGTGAGGGATTCCGGTCTTACTACATCCAGAAGATCGAGGAACTGCAACTGATTGTGGCCGAGAAGAGTCAGAATTTGAGGCGTCTCCAGGCCCAGCGAAATGAGCTCAATGCCAAAGGTAATTCGGCGGGAATGGTGCCCATGTCCTTGAAGAACCATCAAACCCCTATAGTTTATGAAATGCTATTAGATATTTTTTCAACTTAATCTATAAATATCCATATACGAAGTCCCAAGAAGTCACTTAAATAACAAGGAAGATATCATAGGTACCAGTTGATAGTCATTAGATATAGGTTTACTGAGTAGTATTGCTAACAATCGTTATAAATGGCAGTATTCCTAATTTGAGCAATATTTCTTCACCAACAATATATCTATATCATATATACAAAAATCATTTCTTATCTTAACCTTCAAATCATAAGATTTAACTATTTACTTTATCCTAAAGAACTCATTTAAATCTTGGTAAGCTTGGTAAAAGCTTGCTTCTCGAAAAGCATAAGCCACAAATAGGAATTATAAAGAGAAGCCGATCCTAAAGAATACTTTTTTATTACAGTTCGCATGTTGCGGGAGGAGCTGCAGTTGCTCCAGGAACAGGGCAGCTACGTGGGCGAGGTTGTGAAGCCGATGGATAAGAAGAAGGTGCTGGTCAAAGTGCATCCGGAGGGCAAATTCGTCGTCGATCTGGACAAGAACATTGATATCAACGACGTAACCCCCAATTGCCGTGTTGCCCTGCGCAACGAAAGCTATACTCTCCATAAGATTCTGCCCAACAAAGTGGATCCGCTGGTCTCACTGATGATGGTCGAAAAGGTTCCTGATTCCACATACGAAATGGTTGGTGGCCTGGACAAGCAGATTAAGGAAATCAAGGAGGTTATTGAGTTGCCCGTAAAACATCCAGAGCTGTTTGATGCCCTGGGTATTGCCCAACCGAAGGGAGTGCTGCTCTACGGACCTCCGGGCACAGGAAAGACCCTACTGGCCAGGGCCGTTGCCCATCACACCGAATGCACCTTCATCCGAGTGTCCGGCTCGGAGCTGGTCCAGAAATTCATCGGTGAGGGTTCGCGCATGGTGCGAGAATTGTTCGTCATGGCCCGCGAGCATGCGCCTTCTATTATCTTCATGGACGAAATCGATTCAATTGGTTCGTCGCGTATTGAGTCTGGATCCGGCGGCGATTCCGAGGTGCAACGTACCATGCTGGAGCTGCTCAACCAACTGGATGGCTTCGAGGCCACCAAGAACATCAAGGTGATCATGGCCACCAATCGGATTGACATCCTTGATCCCGCCCTGTTGCGTCCCGGCCGCATTGATCGCAAGATCGAGTTCCCGCCACCAAACGAGGAGGCCCGTCTGGACATCTTGAAGATCCACTCCCGTAAGATGAACCTTACGCGTGGCATTAATCTGCGGAAGATCGCCGAACTGATGCCAGGCGCATCGGGTGCGGAGGTCAAAGGCGTCTGCACGGAGGCCGGCATGTATGCGCTGCGAGAGCGACGCGTGCATGTCACCCAGGAGGACTTTGAGATGGCCGTGGCCAAGGTGATGCAGAAGGACTCGGAAAAGAACATGTCTATCAAGAAGCTGTGGAAGTAGACTACTCACATGCGCACGCAAACCTTATTTCATTGTCAATAAATATATCAGTTAGTAACATAAATGCGTAATAGTGGTATCTATGGGTTAAAGGAATCATGGATATGATAAAAACAGTTAACTGTGAAATACAAAATGAAGAATCTTACAATTATCCAATTGCAAAGCTTAACGTCTTAAGTTATAATAATTAAATGGAAGAACCTAATAAATTGTTGACTGTAGGATATTTTTTTGGCCGTGCATAAAAACGTAAACTAGTCATCTCTTTCATTTTCAAAACAGCCTTTTTCCATTTCGAAAAAATTATAGTTTTTTTCCCATTAGTTTTAAAGTAATTGTCAACAGTTTTATTGCATAGATTTGGGTTGTTATGCACAATAAAAATATACATATACTAATACGATGAACACATTCAATGTTAGTCTTTTGTTTGGTTGGACCAAAGCAATAAATTTCAGAGTTCATCTGGCCCAATCACACTATCACATTGGGACTAGCCTGAGTGGTATTATGGTCGGGGGATCGGTGGTACTTTAAGTACGCATCGAGGGATCCGTGCCGTGATGCTCGCGGTGATGCGGCGGCTTTGGTGGCAGCTTAAAGGGTCGAATAAACTTGATGTTCGTCTTCAGGCAATTGGGCAGTTGACGAGGGGGCAGGAGGCTGTGCAGGAAGAGGTGCGTCAAGTAGCCGGTGATGCCCCAGATGCGATGGTGGTCCACCACGAACACGGGTCCGCTGTAGCCGCTCCGGAACTGCGTGTGCCTGGTGGCCTTGGGCACCATAAGCGATTGGAGCGGTACGCTGAATGCCTCCTCCACCTCTTCGGTGTTCAGGCACAGTTCGGAGATGCTGAAGTCGGGCACCACGCCCACCACCGGCACAATGGACGAAGTCCGCGGCAGATTCAACTGGCTGGCCTCTCCCCACACCTGGATGCGGTGGCGCGGCAGACCGATCTCCTCCTCTGTCTCCCGCAGTGCGCAGTCCACGAAGCTGGTGTCCTGATCATCCCGCCTGCCACCCGGAAAAGATATCTGGAAGCTGTGGCTGCGCAGGTGCCGCGATCGTCGCGTATACAGCAGGGAGATCTCCTTTCTAAAAGTACAGATTTGAATGATATCACAATTCGATCGACTGCTGGCGAGGATTAGTGGGCTACTCACGTGCCCCGATCCTGACAGAGGGCGATAAGGACCGCGGAGGTCTGCTTCTCCCGGCGACTGGGCGTCAAGGACTTGGGCCGTGGGAATGCCGGCAGGCTGCGCATCTTCTCCATGCACCTACGCTGCGATTCCGGTCCGAGGAGCTCTACGGGATTCAGCTGAATGTCATCCGGTGGCGACGTGGCGGCGGAGGACGAGGAGCCCATGTGGCGGTTGAGGTGCCACAGGAGTTGTGACGCCCTCCGACTCGCCTGGATTAGGGACATTGCGTTTCGGATCGAAAGTGGGGGGAAACAGTGATGTAAACAAACGTGAAGGAAAAGAACTTTGGAATGGAAAGGGACCACAGATCCAAACAGAGCTGCTAACAGCAGATAGTGTGCTGTTAAGCGCCCCAGGTGCGGACTTAGTCTTTTTAGACTGTTAATAGAACCGTTACATTTTAAATAAAAACATTGGGAAATAATTGTCGAATGATGGAATGTCATACCTTGTTGAATCCTTACAAAATGTCCAACAAAGTCCCATTTACAGAAAAAAAATTTGCAAAAAGAATTATTGTTCCTCAAAAAAAACATGATTTTTACTTGAATGCCACCTGATTAAAAATTATGTAACGAATTCAAGTAGGCATGACAAATCCAAACAAATAGGAACTTTAGGGATGGATCCGATAATATAAAACCATATATTATGCAATATATTCATTGAAAACAACAAAATTGTACACGATTGTTCCATCTTTCATTTTTTAAAACGTTTTATTAAAATTTGTCGTCGTTTGAGGTTCGGCTGCACAAAAAAATATATAATATATATTGCATTTATGTAATTGTAAACGCCTGTGTTAACGCTAAATGTTGTTCCTTAGGTAATCGGTATGCAAAATGTTAGTTTGTTGTTTTTCATCAATTTTTTGTTCTTGTGGATCGCAATGGCAACGGCATAATTGTTGTTTTTGGGGTTTTTATTTTGGGGAGGGGGCTGTTTACGAGATTAACGAGAGTTACGAGTATCATCGCTCTGTCCAGGTAAAGGTACTGCTTACGACTTACAACTATTAAACATTACTTTCGTTATTGACGGCGGCCTGTTTGGCTGACGATCCTCCACCAGCCGCCACACGGTTGCGGGTAAATTTACTAATGGACGTGGGCGATGCGGTGGCAGCAGCGGAGGCGGAGGCGACGGCGGCGGCAGCGTCCAAACGGAGACTGTTCCCGGCCGGATAGACACAGCCCTTGCCACGCCTGCGTCCCGCCGGCGAGCCGCAGCTCCTATCACCGATTTGTACTAGGCTGGTGGCCACCAGATCGTCGCCCCGGGTGAAGACGAACTCCTCGGAGGAGAGCCGTTTCCTCACCCTGCCGCCCACCACATCCGGTCGCTTGCCATTGCTGAGGAGGGCGGGTGAGGCGGGGGCCACCAGCGCTGGGGTTTCTATTCCACTTTCCATGCCGCCGAGGACAGGGAAGTGGGACTCCAGGACGCCGGGTCGCATCAGTATCTCCTCCATGTGGGGCCCTCCATTTTGGCGGGCCGGCGTGGCAAATTGATCCAGCGAAGAGCTGGCACTGTAGAAACTAGTGTCCGTCGAGCCCAGGCCGCCCGTGGTGGCGCCACCTGTTACTGCCGTTCCGTTTTGCTCTGCACCACCGCCGACGCACTTGGCGTGCTCCGAGCGAGTGCAGCAGCCACGCTGGACATCCCGATCGCAGGGACAGTGGGGACACAGCCGCAGGCAGTCCGCGTCCGCCAGGATATCGCTGTCGCTGAAGGTCAACTTCTTGGCCGGCTGCGTTTGCCGCGACGCATCCTGATCCCCGTCCAGCGGGTCGGCGGACTTGGAACTCTGCACCGCATTGGATCCGTGCGGCAGTTGCAATCTCTGCAGACTGTGTGCCGAGGCAGACTCAAAGCTATCGTCGCTGGAGTCCAGACTATGGGCCACCGGCGATTGATCGGGAAAGATGCGGGGAAAGGTGATGAACACACGTCCCAGTCGCTTGTACTGATCTAGATTCCGTGTATCCTCCGCACAGCCAGCCAGATTCTCACTGAACTTGGGCGCCCGCCTCATGACCTTGGGCGTATGCAGCTGCGACTCGAAGATGTCCTCGAGTGGCACCTTCGGAGCACCCACTCCAACGCCCACGCCCATGTGCTGGAGATAGCGCTCAATGCTGTTGGCCAAACTGATGGGGACACTGGTGCGCGAGGAGACGCTGGAGATCTCGGAGAGCGTTTCGGGACTGGCCAGTGGGGCCAGGCCGTACCAGTCGTCGTGGAGGAGATCCACACCCGGCACAGCCCCAGCATCCGAGGCTCGACGGAGAGCCTGGACTTGGGCGAGGGGCAGCGAACGTGGCTTCTTCTCGGAGTGTTGGCGTCCGAGCAGATACCTCTCCGGCGGCAACGACGGTGGCGGGGTCAGGGCCATGTCGAAGGCCACCGCCTTGAGCCGGGGCATGGTGATCTCGTCCAGGTCCGTGTCCGGATTCCCAATCACCGTGGCCGTCGTCTCGGCGCTCATCAGCGAGGGACTCTGGCGCAGGGCCACCGTGGCCAGGCTGTCGTCCAGAGCGCTTGATATGTCATACGGCGTGGTGGTCGAGCTGAGGAGCGAGGAGGCCGCCGAGGTCAGGCGCTGGGTGGGCGGCAGTGGGGCGGGCTGGAGTGGTGCGGATCCGTTGGTGAAGGAGGTTTCCAGACAGAGCTTGTGCTGGGTCGTCGGCGTGAGGACGAGACAGTTGCTCAGATTTGTGTAGGAACTTTGAGAGGGCCGCTTGCAGTGATGCGAATGCGAGGTCTGCATCCGACCGGGATCTGGATATGGATCCGTTTCCGGCTCCGATCTCATGGCATCCGTCGTCTCACTGTGACCGCTGCAATGTGGCGGCTCCAGTTCCGTATCGTGGGCTTCGTTCGATCCCGTGGAGAATGCATTAGAGGTCTGGCGCTGGGGCTTGCGTGGCCCACTCGTTGTTACAACCTAGAGGCGAGTAGCGAGAGTGGAAGGGATCAGTGTTTGTTTTTGCTTAGTCATTTAGCTTAGGTGTAAATTGAAGTCCTACTGAAATGGTTAGTCGATTGATTGATTGATCAGCTCACGCTATATATATGTTTTTTTTTTGCAGGACTTATTTCCTTTCCATTGGGATTAGCGGAAGAGCGCTCATTATCAACTTTGTTGTTCTTTGCTTAGATTTAATTTAAATATTGATATATATTTTTTTTAAACAATGCTAATTGGCTTTTCTATGTTTTTTTTCTATTACTCAAGCAGATCAAGCAATCAATCATCCTGATTTATACATCTGGTAGATACATTTAAATGCAGAAAGAGACGAGTAGATGTTGCGAGCGAGAGACAGAGCGAGCGAAAGTGGGATGCATGTATGTACAGTTTCGCAGATGAGCAAGAGTGAAAAGAGACAGATGCAGATGCAAATAGCGAGTGGAATGACTAAGTACAGTTGCGTCAAAGTTTTAAGCGAGTGGGGTGTGGGTACAGTTGCTCATGGTTCGATAGTTCGCTGTGGTGAGGTGTGGTTTGAGGGTGGGTGGGAGCTTACGGGTGCGAGACACAATATCAAGATTGGTTTTCGTTGTACATACACAGCGAGTACGATTACATTTAGATAGTTTAGTTTACAAAATTGATAGGTTGTTGATTTTTGTTTGAGGTTAGGTTGAGAGCGGGAGAGAGAAATATACATAGAGAGAGATAGAAAGAGAGACTGTAATTCGGTTGACATATTTAAGAATTTTGTTTGGTTTTTTTAACGAGAGCAAAATGGAAAGTTGCTTTAGTCTTTTTTTAATGATAACATTTTTATAAAGAAGTTGACGGGCGGCTGTACCTGGTATCTGTATTTTGTGTTGTCGTAGTTGTTGTTGTAGTTGTAACTGTTGTAGTTGTAGTTATTGTCGTGTTATCATTACGTCTACGAGTGGTACATGCCTTTACGGTTCGATCTCTACAAGACACGACCTGTGCACATCATCGGAAGATCGGGTCACATATAAATCGGTAAAAACGGTATTCGTTTATCGGTTTATCGATAATCATTAATTTTCATAAAAGAAGCAAAATAAAAGGATAATTAAGTAAATCAGTAGTTACACAATTTCGTCGCATATATTATCTATCATAGATAGATAGATAGATATGATCGGATCATCAAGGGGCTGGGCGGGTTTAGAATCGATTTAGGGGATTATCCTATATTCTGATCCACTACCCTATCATTGTAACTAGCACACAGTCAGGGCCTCTTCTCAGCTCAGCAAAAGCAAATACTTTTCGTCTACCATATTTGATTTTTTTGCCATTCAATAAGCTTTACAACAACTTGACAACCATTCCCATGCAGCAGATATATCTGAAGGAGCTGTGTATTTGTTGTATGGTAGGGTTTCATAGTTTTGTTTATGTGGCCAAACGTAAGGTGAAGTCAAAATGAATAAACTTACCAAATTAAATCCACATAAAAAACTCAAATCAAAACATCAAGTGAGGCCTAATTGCTATAGGTTCAAAGCCGATACGATACGTTTTTCTATTTAATGGTGCAAAGTGTTGAACATCCTTTAATCCATCGAAATTGGGATTATCTCGACTTCCTGGTGGAGTAGGCCAACTTACAAGGTGTAAAAATACTTTGTTTGCCCCATTACAGATTTCAAAAGCAAATGAAAAACAATAAGTAAATCATATTTAAGTACATACAAGTGTGTGTATATTCATCATAAAAAAAAAACAAACAGTTTAAGCTTTAAAGTGAAAATATATAAGAGATATTTGGAGAGCGTGATAAAAACACAGAGATTTAGAAAACGAAATGCAAATAACATCGCTTCAACTTATGCAATAAAGGTTACTTAAGCAATACAAACTAAATACAAATATATAAATATAAATATAACTTAGGAGTAAATGTAAACATTCAAAGTCCATTGTCAATGCCTCACACAGCGATAAATACAATAGATTAACTGATAATTAACTATGCGTGTGTGGTGCTGGCTAAGTATCGGTTCTTTACTCTGGACATATCAAAGACAAAATTTCTCAGATATTAAACTAAAGGCAATAAATAAATACATATAAATTAATGTCAAACAATTTAGCATTATTGAAATTATAAGCGATAGTTGGCCTTAGACTAGATAACGTTAAACGTAATTGAGTTTACATATAGATAAATAGGCATCGGTGTAAATATGCTTGTCATGACTGTGGGGGTGGTGTTCGTGTTCGTGTTCAAGTGGCTCTAGTGGCTGGTGAGTTGTGGTAGGTGGATGGTGGTCTGTGGTCGTGGACTTGCGGATCTGCGACCTCCAACCTTAAGGCTAGACTAGGGTAGGCAAGG